TCATAGCAACAGGTGAGATTGACGGTATATATCAATTGAAAGTAGATTAAGAAAAGCAGGGAAAAAGAAATTAGAATTAAATATTACATTTCTTCACTTTAGATTCTTTGGTCATAACCAGTGGATTTTCTTCGCAACATGTATCAGCGTGGAGTAAACTTGTACAGGGAGTAAACGAAGACCGCATATTGATGAAAGAATCCCAAATAAGGTCCATCGGAATCATAAATTGGAATGAAATAGCTTGGGTAAGTTTGGCAGTATCACGGGCCAATAAAAAACTGTTGTCTGCAGTATTGGGTTTTTGTTCGCTTCACGAAGCATAATCATTTAGTCTACCATTTTAAGAAAGTCGTTAGGAGTCACTTAAAAAGTCAAATCTCTCTCCATATTATGTATCAATTACAACATAGGGACCTGTTGACTTCTGCAATACATTGGACTGTGCTGTGAGTTTTCTCCTCATATCACAACGACCAAGCAAAATCAAACAACAAGAGTACGACGCCATGGACAAAGTGGAAGACCTTATTTCTCAACAGAGTGGTAAAAAATTTAAATAATTAATATCCTCGGTATTTAGCAATCGAAAAAAGAATTATTCAGTGTAAAATACTAATATCAACCTTTTAAATTATTTGTATAGGGTGTAGCCATTTCAAATTGATATCAATGGTTATTTATTAATTAAAATAAATTTTACATAACCCGTTGGGTCAGGTTTGATCAGTTTTCTTTGTAGTAATTTGATTAATATTGTCACTATTGTGTCATTAAATAAATCAAAGTGTTCTATTCTTTACATGTCCTTTTTGTTATTCTTCTAAACGAAATAAATTAGGCATTTTTCTATTTAAAAAAAAAAAAGCGTTACAGCAACGTTAAGCAATGAATCATCCATTACAGATGGTTTTTACGACAGCGAGACAAGGTTACCAAGGATATTGGTTGTGTATGGTGGGAAACTTCATGCACTTAGAAAAGTGACAAGTGCTCTAGCATCATCCACTCCAGTTCTTATCATTAAGGTATCTATTTGTATTTATTTTATAATGTTTTTTGAATTCACCAATATGGTTTAAAGTAAGTGTAAGTTATAAACCAAATGCCTATAGCATAAAGTTAAGTTGATTTCTATATTTTCTTTTCATTAGGGTAGTGGAGGCGTAGCAGATATGTTATGTCAAATAAAAAGTCTTAAAGATGACTGTGATATAGGAAATTACTTTCATATCTTTGAACAAAACGAAATAGAAGATGCTCGAAAAATGATTGAGGCACTCAGAGTAAAGAAAAGAACTATAAAAGGATTGTGGGTTACAGATGTAGAAGAGTTTGGGTCCAACGTGGTCAGAATAGCATTTTTGGGTACGCTGGTTTGACCTATAAAATTCATAGGCAACCAATCATAAAATAATACATGTGTACGTTGAACGTGCATTTTGAAATAATATTATGAATCTTGAAAAACAGATACATGAATCAAATGTGGTAGAATAGAAATATGGACTCTCGTCAATTCGAAATTCTACTTAGTTTATTCTATATATATCGTAATATATTTTTCGCCTTTACTTTCAGAGGAATTGAAGGTCGGAAAGGTAGATTCCAAAAAATTACATTTTGTACCAATGCAACAACTTGATTCTTAATTAAATCTACCTCATTTTTTTCGTATATTAATATTTACAACATATTTGTTTTAGATACAAACAAACACCATGTGCAAAAATATAATTAGAGCAGGAAGCCGTTTGCTTTTAAGCATTTTAAAGCATCCAGATTTTATATATCACCTGGAAAGAAAAGTGACGAAGGAAATGATCTTCTTCTTGTATAGCCATGTAAGGGAAAATCATAATTTGCCACATATAAATTAAATATGTTAAAGAATTATTTTGATTCATTAATTTTGGTCAGAAAACTCAACAAAGGGTTACAGATTTTTATTTATAAAAGTATGAAAGTATTTAAGTTTATAATCTCTACATAGATTCCAAGAGACGCACAGATTTTGAGTTCATTTAAAACAGGATCTTGCATACAATTTCACTCTGAGGTAAGTGCTCAGTTGATAGACTTTCTAAAACTCTCTGCAGGACTTTCTGATATTTACCAATATTAATATCGATAGGGCAAATTAATTTAAACGACCTACTATCGTGATAATATTCTATGCACATGAGATTACATGTATTAACTTTGTTTAAATTTAAACTGTAGTTTTTCTTTTATTTGGTTTTTTTAAAGTTAACATACATGTAATACTGTAAAAGAACCCTTTACTGTACAAGAAAAAACTACAAATGTACCAAATTGCTAATTAGAATCTTTGTTCTTTAAAATAACGTTCTCTTTTCCCCCTGTGTAGGATGTACACATTATAAATCGGATGAACACCATTCTTAAAAGTCAGCTGAAAATTAAAGGATGTTATTATAAATTATGTAAGTACATGTATAATCAATATTTATTCCTTTCTATCTTGCTAATTATTTTTTTTTTACTGAAAAATACTATTTATTTATGTATTATTATTTTTAAAAATATAATATCTCGACTTAACAGCTATTGAGGAGAAGACGACATTTAGAGATCTCTTCGTATGGTATTTGATAACGGAACAAACAGAACCAGCTTTCCACGTTTGGATGTATTGCACTGTGGTAAGATTCTTATGCAAAATTCTGTTTTTCTTTTTATTCCCTTTTAAAAAGACAGTTTTAATTTTTTTTTTTTTACTGTCTCCTTTCAGTTGCCTATTTGGGATGCGTTACTTTGCAGCTTCATTTTGGATGGAATGGAACATATTATTTATGGACAGAAAACTACAAAACGTTTCAAACAATTATCAAGGTACATGTATTTTATAGTAGTTAATAATTGGAGAAAAAATAATACGATGTAAAAATAAGAGAATAAGTAATATATATATATATATAGAGAGAGAGAGAGAGAGAGAGAGAATGTAAAAACAGGGTGTTTGTACACTGATAATGTACACGTACATGTACCTTAATGGTCCATTTCATCGAAATATTATCTTCTGTTTACAAAGGCATTCAGATAAATACTCAATTTTAGTTTTAAATATTCATTTTCTTTTGTACTTTTTTTTACTAGAGATTTTGTGAACCACTCGACAAATATTCTTCACGAGTGCTACATCAGCGAAGAATACCCAGACACGAAAGACATAGTCGGACATGTGCTGTTTGAAAAACCATACGAAATCTTCCAACACGCTTATAACCAGAAAAAAGAAGTTTTCTTACGTCATAGATCCGTCCAGGACATAGTCCATAGGCGGTGGTATGGAAACACGCTTTACGATACTCAGTCTCATAAGGTACTTATTAAGAATGTATTTCTTATTATTACAGGTATGAATTTTAGATTAGCCTAAACTCAAGAAATGCATAAGCTCATTTGTAATGTATATCAAAATTTTCATACATAAAATTCACTGTCTTATTTTAAGGAAAATAATCAATGTTAAGAAAAAAGACAGCAATTATTTTTGCATGGATGCAAATACAGTATCGAGTAGAATTGGGTAGATCTATATAGGAACTTAGATACATGTAATATGAGGCATGTTTAATTTTCAGGTCATGAAGATAGTAGAAGCAGTACTTTTTTTTTGTTTCTTCCCTTATATTTACTTCTTTTACCATTTCTAGCGTGAGTATTTGTTCAGTCAAATAATTGGCCATATGATACATTTAAAGCAAATACAGAGCATTTTTGTATTAATACAACACAAAAAAATTCATAATAAAATTGAATCTATTTTCAGACTTTTCAAAGAGGAATTACTTCAACGAATAATGAACAGATACAATACAGCTTTCATCAAATGTTGCTATTTTAATGTAAGTTGTAAATTATATCTACATGTATCATTTCTATCAATCATTCAAATTAGTTTTGAATTGTTTACCAACATTTTACATGTCATTTATTTCTATTTGATTTATAACTTTGACCACATAATACTTGCACTTCGTACACATTTTAAAGAAATGTCTGAATGAAATCAAAGTAATCTTCTTCCCCAGGTCTCATATGCAGCCTTTATGTGCTCTCTAATGGTGACGGTTTCATCTAGAGTCTCTGAGCCTTTCTCCTGGACTGACTTGATGCTGTTGGTATGGTCAGCATGTTTTGCTCTGGATGAAGGCAGACAGGTAAATGACAGACTTGTATTAGAAACTTTATATATTGTATGTTACCAACGATTTTTGTTTGAATCTTCGTTTTGGATCTCTTCAGATTGTTGCAGCCGAAGGAGCGGGTTTAGTAGAAAAGTTTCGAGCTTACATAGACTGGAGGAATACAGTGGATCTTGCTAATGTAATTCTTTTCTTCATTGGCATGATTCTCAAATATTTCAAAGTTAGTTATTTAGCTCGAGTGATTTTAGTCGCCAATCTGTTGTTGTTTTTCCTGCGGATCCTGGATCTGACATCGGTGTCGAGAAGACTTGGGGTTACCTATGTGGTTGTGAAAACGTTGGTATGTGATTTCTGATCTCAAGCAAAATAGCCTTTTGATTGCTAATTTGATAACTTCTGAAAACGCAGTCTTAGTTTTTATTCTTCTTGAGTTTGTTACTTATGTGTTGTCATTTCAATTAATGATTGAAAAACATTTTTTTTTAAATATTAGTGACTTTTTGACTGCTTATCGATTATTTCTTGATATTTCTTGATTTCAGATTGCCAAAGACCTGATTCCCTTTCTTTGTATCGTGTTCATCGTAATTGCTGCTTTTGGAATAGCTGACCTTGCACTTCTAAATCAGAATTTATCACTTAGCTGGACAATTATAGAAAATGCCATGGGGAAGCAATATTGGATTATGTATGGCGATAACAACGTTGAAGAATTTGATACTAGTATGATTAGAATTTCAAGATGGATGTAATAAAATGCATTATTAAAAACTCAACTAGTAATTTGTATTGACTTTTAATTTATTTTCCTTGCAGGCAACGGTGAACTTTCAATCCGACTTGTTCCCTATCTACGAGGCACGTCAGCACTGATTCTGTTTGTACTCCTCTTTAACATTCTCATTGCAATGTTCACGTAAGTTAAGAAAGTAAGGAATTCAATTCCATTCAAACTATTAGTAATTAAAGGGTTAAGGTCCATTTTAACTTTGTTATTATTTTAGAGATCGATACCAAAAGATAATAACACAGAGCAAAATGCACTGGTTGTACAACTTTAAGGAGCTTATCGATGATTACGAAGAGAAACCAATTTTACCACCGCCTTTTGTTATGTTGTTTACGCCACATATGATGTTGTTCGGTCTGATGTGGTGTTTTACAATTCCACTTCAAGCCTGTACCGATCCCAGGCACAAGCGTTCTCTAACAACTCTGTCAAGGATCCTTTGCAAATGCAGACTCGGAAAATTAAAACGAGGCTCGGAATGCTTTGTGAAATGTGAGTAACTTTTTTAATTCAACTGTATAAGCTACACACCGCTTATCTCTGATAACTTTTTTTCTCTTTCGATAGTTTACCTGTCATCTGCAGTGAAGCAAAAAACCCAGCTTACTGTGAAAAGAATTCACAATGTTTTATCAGAGATTAAGACGAAGTACATCCACAGGTGACAATTCAATATATATATATATATATATATATATATATATATATATATATATATATATATATATATATATATATATATATATATACAGAGAGAGAGAGAGAGAGAGAGAGAGAGAGCATTCTTGAGCGACTTTTGATGTATTATTCGGATTGCTATCACGACGCGCAGATTATTGGGAGTTTTAATTGCGTAACTTGTAACACTAAAAGACGGGTGCTAGTAGTTTTTAGTTTGACTTTTTTTTTAAAATAACACTAAATACCTAGCTGTCTTAGATGGTTAATAGATTTACTTTTTGCATTTTTATTTGTAAATCTTCAATAACGTCTTTATTCATGTACTAATACATAGATTGATGAAGTCGGATTTGAGCAGGAACCACTGATGATTACACAAGATGTAGAAGGTAGGATTATATTCTTATAATATTGTTTAATACGATGTGGAACAGAAGGCATTTTATGGAATCCTTAAGAAAAATGAATATGTGTGATTGAAAATTTAAATTAATAGGAGAATTATTTCTTTTACACTGTGCATACAAATGATATTTACTATTAATAAAGATTGCATTAGCTTGGAAGAAATCTTGTGGTAAACAAATTTAAGCTTTAAAACTTCAGTGGATAGACCTTTTTCCTTTTTTCATAAACAGAACAATGTAAATAGTAGTTGTCAGTTATTCACTAATTCACAACTTTTTCATATATTCTTCATTTATATGTTCCAAGCACACAAACACTCATGCCGGCATTAATAGTATTCAGTTCCAGTGGACTGTAATCTCAAAATCCCAACGTTACATTATGACAATACCATCACTTCCCATCTTCATGTGGTCTAAAATCTTCGTGTGATTTGTAGTCAATATCATCGAAGTAAAATTTAGCAAGAGTTCCATTTAATGATTTAAGCTCATCTTCTCGTAGACGATGGGTTTCGTCATCTTTGAATGAACGGTTGTGGAAGGACAAGTTGTCGGCTGGTGTACTGTCATATGTTGCGAAGGGACGCGGAATTCTAAATGAGTAGCGTCCACTGGATTGTCTCTCAAATGATATTTCTGATCCTGAATCGTTGTTCATGTCACCTGTTCTGTAATCAATAGAAATGGTTATGAAAAATAGTGTCACTAATACATATAACTTATACACATTGTAAAATATGAATTTAATTGGAAATGAAACATTTATTAAAGCGTTTGTCCCAGAGTCTTGGTTTCGTGATTTTTTTAGTAAAGATCTAATTTTTAAACATTTCAAAGCATCCGAAAGACATTTCTTTTTACATCATTATCTAAACTTAAAAAATATGATATTGATAATGAAGTACCTCTTTTTGTATCTTATGTATAATATCACTCCTACCACTGCAAGTGTTAAAACAATTAAAGCTATCACTCCACCAATGATGGCCCCTTGCATCACTCTGATTTCTGTCCAAAGAAAAAATAAACTGAATATTATTTTCCAATTTAAGATTTTCTTTTTACCCCATCTTAACATTTTATTGCAATAAAGAAATTTTCACGGAATATTAAGGAAAACTCACTTCTGTTTGCCTCTGAGTCGTACGGATCTGAAAATTCTGATGCCGTTATATCTGTACATCTTATGTTTCGTTTCATGTTACCTAAAACAAACGTTTGTCAGTTTACAGTATTATTCAAAATATAGTAAATCCATTGTGATTTTGAAGCAATGCAATTCCTTATACTGTTTGATCTGACTAGAAAGTATACAAGTTCAATAAGTGAAAATAATTTTCCTTTACACAGTAAGTTCACATAGAAAATAATTTTAATTTACCAAAATCTGTGTTATTCTTGATACACTGCTGATAATTCTTATGCCGTAATTTCAAATCATCGTCAACCAGTTCTCTATATCCACCTTTACAAGAACACTTCTTGTTTTTACATTCTTGTTCGTCATGGTTGTAGCACGAGGAAAGGAATCCCATGCAACGGTCCCCAAGAAGTGGAAAGCTGACGAACCATGACATTTCCCGTCTGCATCTTGTCCCATTGCTGCTTGAAATATATCCATCTTTACACGAACAGGATCCACCAACACAGACTGTGTTTGGTCCAACACATTGCTTGTCCGATGCGCATTTCCCGCCAAGATACTGTACTATGAAATTGGATTAGATGGTAGAGTTGTGAAATGTCAATATTTATCAATATTACAATTTTTTTCAGTGAAAACATAATTATGAATTTATAAATGTATGTGAACATTTGAATTTGTATTTCTTCAACACGATACCTACACGTATATTGATTTCTATTTTTTAAGCTCATTTTGATAATGTTTTAAATCTTATTTATTAATCTTAAATATTGAAACTAAACTGAAATGCGCCTAATGTTCACATAAAATAGCCAATTTTAGAAATATAGGTAAAACAAATAAATATGTATCTTCTTATGTTACAATGTGGCTTTTCCTAATGCCAAAAATCACATGTATCTTTATGCGAATTTGATATTAATTTTGATTTTTTTGCCCCGTGCCATATCCCTTGATAACTAAAACAAAATCATTGAAAACTGTTAGTTAGTTTCAAAGAAATATTTTTAAACTATGAAGGGAGAATTATGCGAAATAATTTCTCTGTATATTTAGCCGGATTTGTCTCAAATTCAATCCATTATTTTCCTTCTTTCCTAAATTTTATGGAAACCCATTAGAGATATTTTGAGGACAGACTTACTGACAGGCAAACAGGCAAGTTCGGTTGAAAAATAATCCTCTTACCAACGTTGTAGGTATGGGTAATTAAACATTACATTTATATTGTGTATATTATAAGAACACTGTAACCCAACTTTTATTTTAAATTGAAAAGATCTGATACAAAATATATCAAGAATAAGAATTAATCGTTCATTATTATCTCCTTTTGCTTTTTAACAAGACATCCTTCTGCATATGAAATAAGAGTGGACCCATGTTCGCTAGAGTTACATAAACTCAAAAGAGTCAAACAGTAATTTTATCATTTCAATCTATATTTGAAACTAAAACATGATATAAATGTTAGAAAATAACAAAAAATAAGCAAAAGAATTCACAACGATAGAGAGCTGATACCATTGTTATGTAACAATGAACATCTTTTAGGGCTGAATCCCTGAGATTAAGTGTTCAAGGCCATGGAAAATTTACTTATCCCAGTGGCTTTTGTAGTGGCTTGCACTATTTGTTTATATCTGTTTTTCTCAAGTTCCTTTTTACTTTTGTAAAGTTTTTGCCGGCAAATGTAACAACGCCATTAAGATTATTGAGGTCCAAATTGCTATCCATATCAACGTTGTATTGGCAAGATACATAAATATTCCCATGCAACGCTTTGCACCATCAGAGACATCTACAGACACCTAAGTGTTAAACATTATCATTAAGCAAAAAATTGATAGCAAAGACATTATTTATTCTATCATTTATCCTTGAAGAAGCTAAAGAAACGCCAAGAGGAAGGCGTCTGGCTTCAAAGCATCCATGTAAAGGTAAATGAAACTGAAGTCAATGACATTGTGTTTCAAACAATCTTCAAAGTCGTCCACAGGATACTCAAGCCGCGAAATAACATTTACTTCAGACTGCATCCTTGATTTGTCAAAACTAAGATCTCTCACCTGCTTCCGGAATTCTTTTTATAGAAAGAAGGAAAAAATGATTTTCCTAGAATTGAAGGACCTTAGGCGATTAAAGACTTTTCAACTTAAATTTTACACTATCTGGTAGACAATTTTCTTCAATTGAATTCAGATTGTTTTTGCAATTTTTAACAACATTCTACTTTATTAATGATGAAGTCCATATGTTACCTCGTAATCCCAAAAACAGAGCAAGTGGCCAAAATACAAAACAGACAAAGTTATACCTGCAATAACTGTCTGTTTGAGGAGAGAATTTGTCTTTAACCTTGGTTGACTGTAGAAAATGCATATATTTCTTCTATGAGTACAGGTTAGTGAAAATAGTATTTTCTGCATGTATCTTTAAAATGCAATATTTATATTATATAAATTTTAAACAATGTCTAGAAATATTTTTGATAAATATAATTCCTTACTTTTTAAGCATAGTTTATTGTCATCACTGGGTACATAGCTATGCTTGCAGTAACACATCAAGTTGCTCCCACACTCAAAGTGTTTCTCACAAAATGCGTTTGCAGGACACGTGATATTTCTTTCGCAAACTTCTCCAATTGGTACTAGAAAATAATTTCAATACATGTATTTTCATATTTTTTTTCAAACAGGTGTGTATTTTTTCAGAGAAAGAAATGATTTTCTTTCTTGAGAACATTTTATTTTTCGTTTGATATATATATTAATTAGCAGGTAGGTTATTATTTATTTAAGTCCACTAATCATTTATAGCTATTCTTCCCAATAGATACCGACCATCTAATTTATAGATGCTCTAATAATTGTTAATAGCGATTCTCTGTAATCACTTAAACTTCTTTGCCACACATGGTCACCGATTTTGATGAAACTTTGCCCATTGTTACAACTTGACACCAAAAACGTATATCAAATAAAATTTCGTTGCTATGTGTCTTGGTTGCCATGGTAACAGCCAGAAAAGTTGAAAAAATTGAGATTTTCAGCTACTTTGAATCTTTATTAAGCCTAAATAAAGACTAAGAAAAACAAACAAACTATTCTCACAAAAACATGACACCTTGTTGTCACTTATGCTATAAAGAAACTATTTAGAATTTATCTCTAAGTAATTGGTAACCATGGGTACATTTGAAATACATTTTAGATGCTGAAAAATGCTGAAAAGTTCTCAATATTCACTAATGATAGATGTTACATGATCAAACTCAATCAACAACCAAAGAAAAACAATAAAAATATTTGACCTTAAGTAATTAGGTATTGGCAATATTATTCTAAAAATAACTTTCATGGTTGCCATGGTAACACAGTGTAACCATGCAAAATCTGTTGCTAAGATTGGGTTAATGCTACTATCTTGAGGAAAAACAATGAAATTCATGACTGGCACATAAACATCCTTAGGACATTGCAACACCAACATCATAAGAAATATTGGGATTAATTGTAACTTTGCAGTGTAACCATGGAAACAATGTACCAGCTGTTTAAAGTGATATTTTTTTGCTGCTTAAGGAATTTACTTAGCTTTTAATCAAGAAACATATTATTTGACTCACCTTGAATAGTACTTATCTGGTAGAACTAAAGTTGAATATTATATATTGATAAAGTTTGTTGAAAAATATAACACTATTGCTATGGTTACCAAGAAGGGAAAATGCTCGATTTTGTTAATTTTATATCAAAATTAAATCCTATGTGCCAGCTTTTTGCATCTAGTTAGAGATTGGTTGGTAGTCAAAATTGAAAGTCAGGTTAGTTGTTCATAGATATCAATGAAAAAAGTTTTGGGAATCTACATACAAGGGTACGTATCCAAGGAAACAAAACATTTTTCAGATTTTTATGCATATTTTTTCGGCTAATTTCCATAGCAACGCTCTATTTAAAGAATTGAATTTGAATTTTTTGAAATGTGAAAATTAGGGTCACACCAGTGCCTTTAAAAATTGATCATCTGTTATATAGAAATATGCTTTTTAAAAAGATAGTATAAGATTAAAACACAAAGAAAGTAAATTTAAACTAACTTTGTGGTATTAAAACCATGGCAACCATTGCCAACCTATAAGAAATATCATATTTCGTCCTTGGTATATGTTACAAGGACCTCTTGTCTGTTATTTGCTTGCATTTCAATCTATAATTTTTTTTATTCTTAAGTGTATGACTTTATAAAATTAAATGAACAAAATTATTACTTTTAAATACTTTGTTTCCATAGTAACGTATGTAATACTTGATTTACCAAACATGTTTATCATGCATTTAAGACATAAGGCCTTGAAGTTTTAGAAACAGTCATTGCCACTTGTTTGCTTTGCTGCAAACGTTAACTGTGGGACTCTGAACATGTTGAAAAATGCCATTTTTCAAACTTTAGGACATGTTGCTATGGTAACCATGACACGTAGCAACCAATTTTTGCCTGATTTGAGTTTACGGTATCAAAGACTTTTATCATAGAGAGTTTGGAGAAATTCTGAGACTATGCGTGCCACAGCTCCTATATAAAAGTTAAAGTCATTACAGAGAATGGCTCTTAATACTGTCTCTGTGCCATAAATGTATAGCAATATACCAAAGTGGTACTTTAGTTAAGGGAAAAATAAAATCTAATGTAAGTGCAGTACTCTTAGCTTGAAGTAAATTACATTTAGCTTACTTCTGGATGTTGTACTTTGTGGAGAACCAGCAGTTGTTGCCTGGGATGTTTTCATTGTTCTTTTAGTTGGTTCTGCTGTTGTTGAAATAGCCCCAGTTTGAGATGATGCTGTAGTGACAACTGAACTAACTGAAATTTGTTGACTACTGGATTGAGTTGGGGTTGGACTTATAATCAAAGATGAAGATATTGTTTGCTGTTCAGATGAAGTAGGAAATGGAGTCAGGTTCTCTATGGTTGATACTGTGGATGAAGCAAAACCAGAAGAGATCGAAGGTTGAGAGAATAATGTTGTTTCCTCCAAAACTCTCGTGGTCGTTTGTGATCTTGATAACTTTGTTGTTGCTGTGAATTGTGCTGATGAGGATGGTTTCACTGAATCAGTTTCTGACAATGATGGTGTCACTGAACCAGTTTCTGATGGTCCCATTGAAACAGTTTCTGACAATGAAGGTACCACTGAACTAGTTTGTGATGATGATGTAATAAATGGGGGTGTGGGACTCTTTAACACCTGTGTCAATAATTCAGAGCTGAAAATTACTGGAGAACTAGATTTAAGTTGAGATGATTCAATCAGTGTTGATGCATATTGGAAACTAGGTTCCATCGAGGAATGAGACATAATCTTGCTTTCGGATGATAAATACGTTGTCATCAGGTTAGCATTCGTTGTGAAAAAAGATAAACTTGATGATGAGTGTTCATAATTTTCACTACTTGTCACTGTGTCTGAAATAAATTTGGTATAAACAGAGTTAACGAGGGAGTGATGAACTGTTTGTTGAGTTTCCAACTTTGTTTCCGAAAACGATTCCATCCCATTACTCCACGGAAGTATTGTGGAAGGGAAAGAGAAACTAATACTTTCTTCTAACGGGGCTGTCGATAAAGGTTCCGGAATTTTTGTATATTTCTGTGTTTTATAGGCGGATGTTGTAATTGCTGGTGTAGGTTGTAAGTTTGAGAAACTTGTTAATAACGCTGATGACAGTGTTTGTCCGAAATCCGTTGATAATGATGGAATGTCAGATGTTGACACAAATTTTGATGAAAACTGATCGGTGGCCGTCAATGAAATGGCGATAATTGTTTGTTTAGAAGATGAACTCTGTGACACTACAATTCATATATCAGTTGGTTATTTTCAACTTTATCAATTGATGTACTGAAACAGTGCTCTTATGAGGAGATATATTTTCTGAAAAAACAATAATTAAATCCTGCATTATTTAGATAAGTGAATCAATAACTAATTGTACCGTACCTGGAGGTGGACTGAAACACTGGTCTTCTTTGATCTTGATTCCTTAAAAACGGGAGTATACACATAAAATGCAATCGAGGAGATGTCCTTTCAGCATAAGTACTGTTAGATTGTATATTGATAGCCACAGCGATAGTCTTTTATTGGGAATAAAGTAATATGAATTAAATAAAAAGTAAAGGAAGTGTGAAATAATTTACATGTTTTATTAAAAAGAAAAGTTACACAAGTCGCAGTTTTTTTTTTATTCCAGTGTATTAAAAACACAACGAAATTTTCAGAAAATTCCCGAGGTTTCATGGTGTTTTTTTTCTCGTAATTCTACTAGATGAAGTAAATTTGTTAGTTGAGCGCCAGAGATCTTAAATCTTAAAGCCATTGATGGTGTGTGTATAGCAATGAAGTGATCAACAGGATTTTGTAAAGCTTCTAAATCCGTTATTTCAAGTCGATATGGACGATTTGTCTTGCGAACGTCCTAAAGTGCCCAGTCTATTGCGGAAATAAGCTGATACTTCTTATCAAGGGCTCCCAAACAGACTTTGCAATCATATGGACATATACAGTAAAACACGCTTAAAACGAAGATGTTGCTTCGCTATAATGGTAATTCGTTATATCCAATAAGTTTACAATATATTTTAAAGTCATGGGGAATGAAATTTCTTTGCCATATAAGTGTCAATTCGTTATATGTGTTCGCTTTAAGCGTGTTTTACTGTATATTGTTATAGGATCTCAAGCCAAGAACGTATTAGACATCTTATACACAAAGTATATGGGGAAACTTGCTATTTTTTTTTCTTTTAAATCCTTACGTAGGAATACTTTTAATTGAGAACTTTCTTTCAAATTGGTGCAATTACGCGAGATTGTCTGCTTACAAAAATATATCACTCTCGCGTATATTTGGATCATTAAAGATTATATACACTTATAACCAAAGTTCGTGAAAAAGTTTTCTTGCTCATAAATAACACATTAATAACTATCTCGCAATAATTTGGTAATCTCATATAAAGTCTCCATTCTAGGGCTTTATTTCAAAGAAAAGTTGTTTTTTTTTTTTTTTTTTGGTTGTTTTTTTTTTTTTTTTTTTTTTTTTTGAAAGGTATATCTATTTAAATGAGCATAACTATTGATGCTTATATTAATTAGACATTTTACTTACCAATTGAAAAATTCAGGGGAACGCATTGAACAACATTAAATGGATAGGCGTTGATAATTTCGATAGAAGCCTTTTTGTACCCTTTTGTGCAGACGCAAACACGTGTACCACTATCGCATTCCAAATGGTTTTCTGGGGAGCATTTCAGTCGTTTGTTGTCACAAAATTCGTTCAGTAAAGAGAAGCTGGTGGAAGTAGATAGTAAAGGTTTTTGTTTGCAGTAGGTCACACTGCTGTTTGAATTGGAGGCTAAGTATCCGTTCTGGCAAGCGCATCTGCCAAACTCGTGATCACATCGAGTGCTGACGGGACGACAGAACTTGGAAGAGGTGCAACTTTGGCCGACTTCTGCAACTATAAATATTCGTAAATCATAAACTTTTGGTCAAAGTCTTTAATATCGTTTTCAAAAGACAGTTTCCATGCTAGCCAATACCTTATTCAAAAATTAAAATAATTTTTATCACTATATCTCATCATACGCAAGCAGCGTAAAAAAGTATTTATGATGATAATTAAAGAGAAAGAAGAGGTTTTCGAATTGCAAAGTTAAGCAGTGTCTTTAAAAAAAAATAATAGTTTCTATCTTCAAGGTTTGGAAAGAACACGTTATTTTAAAAAGAAATTCTTCTATAAATGATGAACAATATTATAATTTCGATCGATTTCAATGATCCCCTTGCTAAATGATATTTAAATGTTACACTATTAAAAACTTTTACTACTTTTCATTGATCCTACTTTTCCTTAAATCCAACTCTTCCTACTTTTTAATCAAAAAGAGCAAAAGAAATCACAATGCATTTGAAAAGAGCAAGACAAAAGTAAAAGTTAAATAGATTACTTGTAAATCAGAGAGGATGATAAATCAAACTGAGTGAAATAAAGATAATCTTGTTTTTCTATACAGTATGCATGGTGGTAGCTAGGCGTACGCAAGCACTTCCACCTAAGAAAAGAACTGAAATTAACATTTGATGCATACCTCATTCTTAATTTACATAGCAATACACTGCTAATAAAAAGATATTCATAACTCTACAACAGTTTTAAATTTAGTGTCAACACTTAATATAGACTAATGTCAATACATTATATAAATTATGTACATGTATCAATATCTAATTTACAATAATTTGGGGCTTATAGGACAGAAAGCACACCACTTGTTAGATGAAATCTTATTAAATGATCATCAAAACGTTTTGATAAAAACTCCAACTTTTTCTAGTAGATTTCCTACTTTTTCCTAGTATTTTTCTACTATTTTGAATGACTTACTCTCACTTTTTCCCTTCTTCTTCATCAAGGTAGAGTAAAAAGCCTGGGAACATTTACAAGTCAAAAGCACATTTAACTAATGCAATGCAAAAAAAAACACATTACATGGAGATTTGACATTTTAGCACAGTTGTTTTCATTCAGGATTCCTTTTATCTTTTATATTTTTCTTTTATAGAGGTCATTCAAACGTATTCATAAATACATGTATATACATGTAGGGCGGTGGAGCACAAACACTCTAACTATCCTAGTACCGGTATGTTATGAATGATCTCGTGCCCATTCTTTAGTTAGACTCAAATTAGTAAAAATGGTCAGTTTACTTTGCCTATAAATGGTCAAGTCTGATATTTAATATTTTGAAGATTAAACTCCAACCTAAAAAAATACCTTGCCCTCCAGAAAACGGAGGCTATCTTGACGGAAGGACAGTGAATCTTTGCCCTTTTCATTAAAAGGGTCACTCGCTGTGAAATTACGTTGTTTCACAGTGAGTCTTTTAAAAAAAGTATGCCAATTTCAGGCCAACCGTACATTCCATTCCAAAGTACCCCCTAGTCTCTGGGTACAAACAACCTCATGTGCACAAAAGGTAACTCGATGGATCGGGGTCTATTATCTTTTCCTGATCTTACTTCCTGCATTTCTTCAGAAAACGACTTTCTAATTTTCCTGGGATCAAGGTGCCAAGATGTTTACGCAGTATTTCTGTACGCCTGCTAAACAAATACCCCGCGACGCAAGACTGTGTCACGGACGGGAGGTCTACATGTCAGCAACATTTCTATTTGACGTTTGTTTCTCATTAATTTTACGTAATTACATGTATATTGTGGTGCTGAGATAACTTGCATTCCAAAGGATGACGACTTTGTGTCCTCAACGAGTCATTTGAGATACATGTAGATCTGTAATTTTTTTTTCCAAAAATAGTCAATGATAAGATATCACATGTATCAGGTAAACATTAAAAAAAAAATCAAAAAAAAAATGCAGAGAAACAAAGATTAATAGTGTCAAATCTGGGAAAACCATATGCTACATATTTCTATAAAAGTAATTCCACCCTATATTGGTTAAGCCCAGGAAGAGTGAAATTGTATAGACCACCCCCAACTGCCCAGATACTAATGGAAACAAGAGAAAAGATCGTGTCATAAAGAGAATACAAATATGTTTCAGCTATCTGTCTATGTAAGTTATTGGATTATGAATGCTAGGATTTGTCCATGTCCAAACATGGTGGGAATGTCCTTCTTACTTTTCACGCCCGCTGAACAAATGTTAGAAATGGAAGAATGAATTCGAAAATAACCCAAGAATCTAACATTACTGCAATACCTTTACTCAGCATATGCTTATTTGTGCATAATCAATTTGGTATTTTATAAAAGAAAGAAAATGAGATATTTTAATTCCTCGAGATCGAAGATATTTTTGATTGTCTTTTTTTTTTTTCATTTTACAACTGCTCATGGCATTCAGTAAAGTGAACGGTTCCATACTTGGCACACGGGGAGTTTATGACCAAAGGTTGTATCCTGATCCAGAATCAATTAAGGTCATTTAGGCAAGGTTAGAGGGATTGGATGTGCAGTACTCTTCTCTGAACCATAATTTTGTTATTATGGAGAAATTTTAGAAAGTCATTCTTGGTATAAGGTAAGTAATGAACGGAGGGTTGTCATTACCTCGATACAAGATCATTTGGACGAGGCCATGGTCACAGCGAGGCCATGAATTCTAAGTCAGTCAATAACCACGCTTTGAACAAAGGTGTTTCACAAATACATCTTACTTTAACTATATTTAGTGAGACAGAAATAAAATCCTGATCTTTTGCTTGTTACTAATCCATGTTTATTTACAAGCTGCCATTTTGATTAACAATGTTACCTATTCTAGGTGTTTTCAAGAAATTGGTTCTCTATAGTACAAACACATAAAAGGTTAGGTAATGTAAAGCAAGAGTGCAATATACTCACTTGAAACACATTTGGTGTAATTAAGATTGGGGATTAAATCTGAACGACACAAACAAATGCTGCCATCGCAACCTCTAATGGTGCATTTGGAGTCTTTTGGACAATCTCCGTCAGCGGTACAAGCTTCCATCAAGTTTTTTCCTTGAATGCCTAATTAAGGAATGATATATAGATTTAGTATTAATCCAAAGAATACATTTATTAGTACATGTGTATGTCGACTAAAAAATAAACGGTTCTTTATACAATATATTCATTATTTTTATAAAAACTTATGATTCTAGTTGATTGTTTCATCATATACGTACAGATTTATAGAAAGAACACATTTTCTGGAAGTTGAGATATTTTAATTCCTCGAGATCGAAGATATTTTTGATTGTCTTTTTTTTCATTTTACAACTGCTCATGGCACTCATTAAAGTGAACGGCTCCATACTTGGCACACGGGGAGTTTATGACCAAAGGTTGAATAGACTTTTTCATGGTTGTGTGATTTGAACTAAAAATTTCTATAAAATGTTACCGTAATGTGTGCGACGAAGTTGATACTCGTAATAATATAGGTAAAAGAGATTTACGTAAGAACCCCCCCCCCCCCCCCAAAAAAAAGTCATACTGTTCAAAGCACGTCCAGTTCTTTACATAGCAACTAGTCATTACCTTATAATAAGACTTTCATTTAACATGTCAAATTGTTAATTTATTTAAGGTTTGCGTGGATGATAATTTTTATGCTTGGTCCAATTGGTGGGAACTTCGAGCCTCTGATCTAGATAACATTTTCTTCAATGAAATTGTTTACAGTCCATGAACTGTTTAGGCGCAGCTAATACCCCAGTGTACACCAAAACAAGATAATGAAATAAATAGGGGGATCAAAATTGTATGTTATCCCTTTCCCCCAAATGCATCGTTATATTATCATATAGACTGAAACAATGTGCAAAAATGTTGGGAGGAAATTTTGGAAATGTCAGGATAACTGAATTTGGCTGTGCTTTTGTTTTTGTGAATAGATTACCCATATTTTTGTTTAAATCAACTGGTCCAAGCAACGCAAGTGCACAATACACTAAAAAAAAAGATTAATAATAAAAATTGTGAAATGCATAATTTGAAAAAATACTTCAAAATATAGATATGTTTTAAATAGGAAAGACCATTGCAATTCTAATGCAGATTTGAGGTTTTTGCCTAAAAATACAAGTGTTGAAAACAAATAATCCAAAATAAGGTACTAATACATGTATTTTACTATTTATGAAACAATTGAATCAGAGTATATCTGAAATGCAGGTGCACAACTTTTCAACTCAACATTTCAATTTGACCAATTTAGAGTGTTAAAAAATCTGAAATTAAATTGTTGTAAAAATATTGATTTAGGGAATTAAAAATATTTATAGAAAAGATATGTTTAACACTTGTATTTAAATATCATTTATATTCAAACAGTCCTTTTAAAATATCAACCTATTTCAGAATTTGATTTTGTGAAAATATTTTACATATATGACATTTGCTGCATTTATTACTTTGGAAATAATTGTTTTACTAAGCGTGTACCAAGAAGTATTGTAGTAAAGACTAAGTTAAAATTCATAGAAAAAGAAAAATATATAAAAGTCCAAGTAGACCATTGAAGAAACTATATCTGTAGTAAGTTAAATATCATCTGAAAATCTTAGTATCCAATTAATGAAATCTGGTCATACCTTGAGTAAAGGAGGCTGTAGCAAACAAAATTATAATCCAAAGAAACATATTTCCCATTGAAAATTCCTTACTGCAATAGATAAATGAATAATTATTATCATGATGCATGTTCAAAGAAAATTTATATCAAATTGCATTTTTGAACCTTAAAGTTTGTGATCTTACAATTAAATATACATTTTTTTCATTTAAGGTTTTGGGATCTGGAAACTCTTTAGTTACAAATAAAATCTTCTTTTTTTTAAAGAAGAAGAAAACATTTACCGTTCACAGATGCTTTCGACCCATTCCTTCCTTCAGATGAAAGTGAAGGTTGTCGGATCTGGAAATCTGGAGTAATACACACATGCTGATAAGGTTTTTACCTGTATGGTATAAACCATTGGGGGTAGATAAATAAATTCCCCAAGCTCCAGCTACCGTATCTCAGGGGTGTCATATTTGAAGACACCTCGCTCTTCCATTTGTTTTCAGTGAATCAAATTCCATAGCATATTTTGCTTGACTTGATTTGGACCATCGGAGCCTTTTTCTATAATATACTAGACTGAGTAATAGATAGATTCCCCGATACATTTCCATAGACAGTCAGTATTAACAAACTTATAAGTGATTATACATGGATGTACATGTACCTGTTGCAACCACTGTTGAAATAACACCCACTACTGAAATAATTTTCAAGTGGTTGAGAATGCATTTCAAATTCAACTCCAAAAGCCAACAACTATTGAAATACATGTAACATCCACTACTGAATATTCATTTTATGGTTGCAATTTTAATTCTAAAAGAACAAAAATGTAATAGTTTAAATGCGAAAAAAGTTTTTGGGATACAAATTCAATAAGTGAAGATAAAGAAATAGTGATTGATCAAACAAACAAGCATTCTGAGAGTATTGCATTAGCAATACCAGTCCCCTACCGGCAAGTGTAATCTGGTTCCCGTTAAAAATTGAAAATGCCATAATTCCGTCAAAAATCAATGAAGCGGGAGAAAATGCAAACTTGATCTATAACTAATCAAGGTAAAGTCACATACCAAAAATCAGCTCAATATCTGAAAGCGTTTAGAAGAAAATTGCGGAAAACCCTTAGAAATTGAAAAGGCCGTAATTCCGTCAAAAATCAATGTAGTGGAACGAAATGCAAACTTGATCTGTAACTCATCAAGATACACTTACATACCAAAAATCAGCTCAATATCTGCAAGCGTTTAGAAGAAAAGTGCGGAAAACCAAGTGGGACAGACTGACAGACAGACAGAGGGACAGACAGACAGACGGACGGACAGACTCAGAGGAAACCTATAGTCCCCTCCGGTTTCACCGGTAGGGGACTAATAAAAATTTGTGAACAGGGCATAAAACAAGGACCCTGGAAATTTCAGCGGTTGGATCAGGTGCCTAGGCGGAATAATCATACCCTCTCGACCGGTCACACCATCCATGAGCCCTATGTATTGATCAGGTAGACGGGATATTCCTAGTCAAATTAAGTACAAAAACAACGGCCTACTAATTGATATGAAATACGTCAATCAAAATACGACTCAATAATAGGTTGCATTTGCTTTGCTAACAATGCCATTATAGCGACCAAAGACTTTACGAAATGCTGACTTTAAACGAGGTTGTTAATATCTCTGTAATGTCAATTTTTTGTCAGTAGCCTGTCTCGTTTTAAAAATTGATCGCATTCAGAGCATGCTCTTGATTATCGAATAAGCTGGGAGACAAATTAAATCACCATATGCAGGTGATAGCAAAATTTTAATGTATAAATAAGGAAAATTGACGATGGAAAGGCTGAGGTAATCTCGTTTGTTACATGGGATATACCAACGGAATAGATAATATAAGATGTAATTTGTAACAACAAAAATTGGGTTTTAAATCTAATTTCGCTCACTAATGAAGAAGTTATATATTACAATATTAGTATTTGCTTTGGTCGGAGTTTCGTGCTCGCCATCAATTGTTAAAAAAATGTACATGTAAATATTGCAATGAGGTTATATTGCATTTTCAAAAACTATTGAAATTTATTTTTAATGCAACCAAAAAATAGCAATTTCAGTAGAGGATGTAAGTTAGTGATCTCTAAATTTATTGGCTCAGTCTGAAAAAATTGAGATAACTCGGTAGTTGGCCTTTAAATTGTCTGACTTGAAACTTGTTTTCGGTGACTTCATCGATGATAGTAAAATTCATTGTAATTCTGAGTTAATATCACTGACCTATAAAGTTGAACATATGTAAAGTATTCTAAATTAAAACTTTAAATTATATGTACGATGTGTTTTTCTAATTTACATCTTACCTGGTTACAAAACATATCATCAATGTTTTTTATTAATGTTTTATGCCCCCGTAATCGACGATTCGAGTGTATATACGGTAGTTTTTGCCCTGTCCGTCCGTCTGTCTGTTTGTCCGCAAAAAACTTTAACCTTGCCCATAACTTGATTAATTGGAGCTATGACTTTCATATTTCTCTTGTGTATTCCATGTGACAAAACCTTCCTTTGGGTACCAACATATTTGACCTCTTGACCTTGGAGTTTGACCCACTTTTGCAAAAATTTATCCAACTTTAACCTTGGCCATAACTTTTGACCAGTTGGTGCTAGGGCTCTCATGTTTCACATGTGTATTAATCGTAACAAAACCTTTCCATGGGTATAAATATTTTTGACCTTTAGACCTTGACCTTAGAGTTTGACCCACTTTTACAAAACTTTAACCTTGATCATGACTTTTGAACAGTTAGCACTGGGGCTTTCAAATTTCACAGGTATAATCCTTGTGACAAGACCTTTCTTTGGATACCAACAATTTTGACCTTGGAGTTTGACCTACTTTCGAAAAACGTTAACCTTTGCAATAACTTTTTGAACAGTTGGTGTTAGGACTTTTATATTTTGCATGTGTATATCTTACAAGGTCTTCCCCTTCGTACATCCATTTTGATCCTTTGACCTTGGAGTTTGACCCACTTTTAGAAAACATTAATCTTGACCATAACTTTTGAATGGTTGGTACTTAGGCTTTTATATTTAACAGGTATATCCAGTGACACAAGTCCTTTCTTTGGTTAATAGCATTTTTGATCTCTTGACCTTGAATTTTGATTTGCATTTGAGAAATTTTAACCTTCGCCATAAGATGTCATCAAGGGGCATCAGTGTTTCACAAACATCTTTTGTTAATAATGTATATATGTATTATAATGTGTATATATAATGTGTATGTGTATTATAATGTGTATAATATACGAAGATACGTATACCTGTGAGCTTTACTCTCACTATGTAAGTACTCTCCTGACTTATCAGTCAAATGGGCATATCTTCTGTAACAACTAGCATAAAATCATGTACTATTAAAAATTCTCTGTACTGTAATTGGGCGCCTAAATATCATCGGATCGATACATCTTTTCCGCATTTTTTCTTGATTTCAATTATAGCACTTGTTCCTTCCTCATAGATTCAATCTATATATAATAATCTTTGATCTCTGTTCCAGTAAGTGTTTAGGCCATTCACAAGGAAGTCCTTTAATTTGGATTCACTGTTACTTGCACAACTTCACAATACCTCAAATCTAGCATGGTTATTTTTAATCAATAAATAAATATAATATTGTATATTGGAAGACAAACCCAGTCAGATTAAAAAGAACAAGAAATGAAATGGTAAAATGTGCTTTATTTCGAAGCGGAATAAACACAAACCATCCATTAACTCCCATAACATGACAGAAGTTTGTGGAAATTAAAAAACAAACAAGTATACATTTCTAATGAATTCAAATATATCACATGGATAATCACAACAAGGAAATATACATGTCCAATATAGGTGAACTCCACTTGAGCCTTTAAATTAAACCATTGGGGACCAAAATAATTCAAAAATAAACAAACCATAAAAAGGGCAACATAAGCTATACTCGAGGGTAGCTGGAATAAAAACCCAAAATTCCCAATTAATGTTGTTTTTTTTCTGAGTTTACATCAAAATGCTTTACCGAATTAAAGAAGAAAAAACACTACATTTTATACAATATGGGATGGAAATGTAACATATGTTCCGTCTCGGGCTTTTTTTTTTAACTTTTGGATTTGAGAGAAAACACCTGTTATCTATATGTGAACACTTTGATATGGAAAATTACCCAAATTTTTACCATATGAATTTTCAGTTACATAACACATAACACAAGAACACATCAACCTTATATTACATGTACTGTGTGAATATGGCACTAAAATCATACATATCAGTGTGGTCATCACTAAGATTTAGTCAAAAATGATTTTCAAAAATGTGTGTTAATTTTCCTACCTTCCAGAAAATGAAGCAAACTTGATAAAAATACGGAGTAAAAATATAATGCAAATGATTTCATATCAAAAGATGCATTTACGAAGGTGAAAGCAATTTTCAGTATAAGGACTATAATAATTAATATTTTTTTTAAAAAAAATCATTTTTTCATTTTTTTCCTGAGTGGATCTAATTTGTTTACTGTCGCAAACTTTTTTATGTAACTGTTAATTAAAACGATATTTTGAAAGTGAAAGTGCTTCACATTTATAATAAAAGTTGAAAATCAATCTAAAATAACGTGAATTACAAATAAACAAGGGGAAAATTTTGCATCTCATCTGAAAATATGCCCTAGATTAAGATTTTTTCCTCTTCAAGATTTTTATTTAAACTTAATGAGAAATTGTGAAAATCATAATTTAATTTACGGCTAGAGAAATAAAACATTTTTAATCATCTATATATAAATCAAATAAGGTTAACAAAGGGGAAACAATAATAATAAGCCACTATACTGATAAAATAAAGAACATGGGGGGGAAAGCCATGGATAATGCCTATGACTGGATATTTAAGGCAAGAATTATCACTTAATCATCACAAAATTTGTACATTTCAACAAAATGCTGTAAGTCCAGCTGTCTAAAGACCTTTCCACGGACAAGATTTAAATACCAGTACTTTATACAGGTGTTAGTCTGACTGATCAAAACTCTGTCAGAATTTTTATCCTACAAGTCAATCTCAGCACAACCCATTAATGCATTTTCATTCCCTTTCACTATCAATGTTTTTTTCCTGAAGAATTCAACACATTAAAATATTATTTTGCATAATGTTACACCTTATTTGTGATAAAAACATTGCAATAAACATAAGGTACATGTATAAGCAAAATCTATACCTTATCTCCCATGTTCTTTGTTTTAAACCTTAAGATTATATCTTGTGAAATGCCTAGCATTTTTTCCATCAATTACAAGCTTTAGAACATAATTTTAAAAAATGCAGCTCATATAAATATATAAATTATGAAAAATCTAGAAGCTGTTTAAAGTTCAGCAACAAAGAAAATATGATCACAGATTTTCACAGCATTACCTCTTGTGTAAACATTCTCAGATGAACCCTAGTACATTGTAACTTAAACAGTTTAACAGTGAAGGTTAAAGCTACCCTGCAAAAGTTGAAATAAACTACATAACACTACTACATACTACATTTTTTTCTCTGAACTAATTAGCTACACTGACTATAAACAGTAAAAATCCTCCATTCACAACAATCCTTTGATTTTGTATGTGTTTTATCACACTCTAAATGTTAAACACCACTCAATTACATGCACCTCATTTTCTTTTAATCTGCACAAATATACCTGACTAATAAATGACTACTACGTATTCTCTGACTTCACTACAATTGAGAATAACTTTTGATTCTGGATGGAAGTTGAAATTGAAGTTTAAAAAAAAAAAAAACCCAGAGATATGCTCTATAAATTATATGTACATATACCATACATGATCCCTCAAAAAAAAAAGTAATACACTTGTACCTTAATTCAGATTACAGATATGTAAAGAAAAAAAATTTAGGTAACTTGGAACTCTAAAACCGAAATCTATGCTTATTTTGCCATGTATTTAAATGATATGAAGAAAATATTAATTCATCAAAAGTTCATTTTAAATATGAATATAATTTTATTTTAGTACATGTAATACATATTTTTGGGGAAACTTTTAAATTTATAACCTCTATGCTCACGAATGCTGAAAAGCATTTACCTGCTTTAGACAAGCAGTAGTGAAATATTACAGAAAGATAAATATTCACTAAAAAGACATTCTTCTAACTTCACTGCAGTAAATAAAAGAACTCTCCTTTTATACAAGCAACATACATGAAAAAAAATTTGAATATGTTCAGCCAAACCTAAGTAAAATATTATTTTATTAAATGAAAAGTTTGGAAAAATATATGGATGAATCCATCTTTCAGCACTAATATATATATATATATATAAAGAAATCTACTTCTATAGATCATACAGCAGAAAAATATATAGTCCATTGAAAAAAAATAACAAAGATTATATATTTTATACATGTAAATCAAACTTGGATAAAGAAAACTCTTGTTCCCCTACAATTAAAGCTTTCAAAATGAATGAAATCAACATGATAAAGCAAGACAAACAGAAAACTGATGGATGCTTCTCTTTTGCACATTGCATGTAAAATTATGGGCATTGAAAGTAATATCTGACATTAAATTGAAATGTTAAAGTTATCCGGCAAACTTGACAATGGGAATGTGTTGCTAGACCTTTACAAAAAAGACATTTTCTATTGTTGATGATGTTGTTAATAAGAAAAGCATAATATTTGTCATGAACAGAATATGACCCAAATACATGTATGCATGCATAGGTTAAAGAAATATCAGTCAAAATTTAGACAAAAATTCAGACTGGCCTACTTTGATTTTGAAAATGAAACTTTCAAGAAAATACAAGATCAGGATAAAAACTGTTCATATCAAGATTTTTAACAAGTTTTCAAGTCAAATACTCAAACTACTTCCTTGGGAATATGACTTTTGAGTTGAGGTCATTATATGGCTATATGGTCTCATTTCTTAATCAAAAAAGAATTCTTATCAAGAAGCAGATTTACAATTTCAGTATGGTCTCTTTTGACTCTTTCTGTCTGGGAGTTAACTTGAACTTCATTTTCATAATTGGATTAATTTGACGGATTCTGATTTAAGAATGTATCTCCTTCATCACGTTTACATATTATCCTTTTTTTTAAAGTGAACTTTGGTGAAACAAAATATTTACAAAGTAACATTAAAAATTAAGCAGCTATTAAATAGATTTACTCCTGTACTTGTAAACATGACTATGCATTCACTCAATGGGTGCTACATACAAATATGCATTCTGTATCTAAACTATAATAATCTTATATCTATAACTGACTCTACTTTCTTTTAAATCAAATACATGCATGCACACAAAAATACTACTCAAACATGACTACATTTGAGGTATATAATGCCACTTGAAATGTACTGTGTTGGAATGGGCTGCAGTTATAATTGCCAGATGCATTTTTTTCCCACTTGCCTCTAATTTTGATTGTTTAAAAAAGTTTCATCCAGGAAAAAAGAGGAATTCTGGATGGTCACTGATCTGACAGAAGAAAAAAATGCATACTTCAAATCTATGCACTGATATATTTAAGACTATATATATACAAATACATGAACAATTTCTTAGTTTATTTTCAATGTTCTCACTTCTAAAGAGCTAGATTCACTTTATCCATAGAATGGTCCTGTCAATGTACCAATTAATAGGTCAAGACCCTTTGTCCAATTTTAAACACCCATACAAAGTAGAGACTTGGTGCTTTTATTTTCTCTAACAAAGCTTTCTTTGAGAGTCCAGGCACCGATATTTAAAGCTTTGTAAAATTGCTATTTTCTTGAATTTTGCAGAAAACAGGTATTTTTTAGTACCTTCAGCAAAGAATTTAAATATGAGCCCACCCCTTCATTCAAAAAATAAATATATTTCATAATCTTAAAAGAAGTTCTTTCATTATATAATTGCACGTTGTGGATCAAAAGGTTGGGCTCTATACCAAATATTGAAATGCAACTTTATTTTTTGGCCGTTTTTGAAGATATTTTCAGGATTAGGGAAGAATAACACAATTCATAACATAATTCATGGACTAGCATGAAAATTACAATATCTTCAGTAGATATGCAGTCACCAAAGGTCAAAGTGATATTTAATGTGTCAACTAAAACGTACGTTTTGATTTTTCAGAAATTCACAGGGCCAATAAAAGCCCTAAGTGAACCTTGCTCTTTATGTGCAAACTTGACTCTATTTCAATCAATCTTTCTTTTTTTTAGTTTTTTTTTATTGGTTGGTTGAGGTACTGCTGAAAAATGATGAATTTTTTCCTTTTTTTTTTTTTTTAAACTAATCCTTGCTGATAATATATAATGGAATGAAAAATTTATGACACATGTAAGCAGCATACATGTAGGTGTTCATTAAAAAAATATGTGCAACAGATTGCAGCCTTCCAATAAATCTAGCAACTTCATGAACGTGCAAAAATGAGAATATAAATAAATATGCTTGCAAAAATTTCAGCTTAATATATAAAAAGAAATAAACTTCGACAATTTCACCATTCTTGTGGAACTGACAGAGTGCAAAAATATATATGTGTTTATTATTCACATAAATTCAGTTAACAAATATCAACTTTGGAATTCAAAATATCATCAATATTTGCACTTCTTTTTTTCAATGATGGTGGAGTAAATCTGCTGCATGTATCAAAAACACAAGGTAAAGCCCAATACATCTGGCAACAGATGAATAATGAACAGGGATTAGCATACATTATGACCAGCAAAGTATAAAGGGAGCAGTAACAAAATTGTTATCCCTATATGAAAAGGAAAAAAAAAACTACATAAAATGAATCAGTCAGATATCTCTTTGTCACACAGAAGTAAAATCCAGACATGGATCATTTCACAATAATGTTTACAACAATTATCATAAAAAATTTTGTCTAATTTTTGCTTCTCAGTTTAGATGAATTTTAGAATTATTTTAACGTGATTTAAAGAACCAAGTAAGATTACTATAGAGAAACTCTTTACTTTTAGGTTGCTCTGTTAATCAATGAAAAAAAAAAGATTAAAATCCAAGAAAAGGGTCCCTGTCATTTCAGCACCAATACATACACAAACATTATAATGATATCACAAAAATACAAGTTTTACAAGGAAAAGGAAAAAAAGCATACATAATCATACGTTTTCAGTCTAGTCAAAGTATTTAAAACTAACTTTATCAGCAGAATGCATTTTTTTTTCCAGGAACTGTACTGACGACATCCCTTATTCAGAGCCCTATATAATCTCTGACCTGTAGAATGAGAAAAAAAGAAATCATTCTATAGTGACTTGCAACTTTACTCATAATCTTACAAACTTGTAATATTTTAGAAGCCTAAAATATAATCATATCTCCTGTCATATTGAATTACTGATGGGCATTGTATGTAAAATTTTACAAAAAATTGTGTGAACTAGGATAATTTTCTGGATTAAAAACATTTATAGCCACGCTGTACTGTAGTGGTGGATTTTATAAATCAATTTCCTTATACAGTGAAGTAAAATCAAGTGTATGGCTCAACTTCCTATAGCCATTAGCTAAGGTGAGCCTTAAGGGTTTTTGACATTGAACATGTTGAAAAAATATGAAAAGATGAAAAGAATTCAAGGTAAAAAAAAATACACATACATAATGAATACCAAGGCTCTGCATTGTCACAAAAAAACCTCTGTCAATTTTATATCTCCCTTATGAGAAAAGTGAAGTATGGGCACAATTCATCAAAATGTTTACATATATCATATTCATAACACAATTCAACAACATAACTCTGCATAATTTACAATGATTAAACATTAGATAAGTTGGCAGGGTTTTTTTTTTCTTTTTTTTGTGTTTTTCATTAAAAAATCAAGTACAATTTATTACTTTAAGTGGAAATAAATGATTTTAGACAAATGGTAATTTGTTTCAAATCCTTGTTGCTCATTTTAAAAAAAAAATCATTCTCCAAATTAATTTAGAAATCACTTATTTTTTTTCTCTCACTCAGTCCACTTTTATTTAAACTCTATATATGCACTTATGTACAAGTTTCCTAAACATTTTTCTTTCCATTGTGTACTTAATGTGTAACAATCAGAGCTAGTAGAAAATGATAAAGGGTTGTATAAACCAGACACACATACAATGGAATGTGCACAAATCTGCTTATTACATAGAATATGGCCAAATCTGATTATTACTGGTTTTCCTTAAAGTCTCTAATAATGAGCAGTGTAAATCTAAATAGTATTTTGGAAGTATTTTTGCAACAGTGTTTGACATGGTATTCAGTTACTATAATTTTAAAAATGAACAAAGATTAAGAATGATGTCAACAGTGACTAAATTTCTTTGTTTTTATTTTTTATCCTTTTTTGTACCTAACATTACTGATTAAAATGATTAGCATGAATAATATCACTTACTATAGGGAAAAAGGAAGAATACATTTGATCTTGAGATTGTACGTATATTTAAATGTGATGTGAACTGATAGGTTTCTGAACATCACTGCCTTAAATGTGCCAAACTTAATTGTCCTTCACACAAGAAAAAAAAAACCCAAAACATTTAAAAAATGTATGTATAGCTAAAGTTCGTTATTTGTATCATGTACTTACACGTCGAAGATGTATTTCTGAGATGACATTGATAAACAAAATTACACCAAATCCAACATACTGAACAAAATTCAGGAACTCCTGAAAAAAAGGAAAGTCTAGTTTTTAGATTTTAAACAAAAAATAAACTATTATATCTTGAAAACACCTTAATAAAAATCCTTTACATACTCTGACAAAACTTCGAGAATAACTAGTATTATAAACTAGTATTTAAAAAAGTAACCTTTTTTTAAAATACACATAAAAGCAACTGCTGAAATTTTTAAACAATATGGGTTGTAATATGCATTAATTGTTCCTCGATTAAGAGGCAATCATGTATTCATGTTCTTTCTCTGTATATATCTAAATATGCCAAAGAACTGAGTGTTATATAGTCAATATATACTTGTACATGCTTGCTGCAATGCACAATGCCATTGCACTGGTATTGGAAGGTTTCATCATGTCCAACAACAGTGCAGTAAGATGATATCATATTATCTTACCCAGACTTTGTCCATAAATATAACCAGACAGTACATTTGTAACAGAGCCTGGCCATCAATATACCGCCAAACATACAGAATCAGCCATGTGCTCAATGAATGCAATGATGCTGTTTGCCTCACCTACAATATAATGACATTTTAATACTGAGAAAATGTAATCAACGCCAATTACATATTAATGCAGACAATGTATTGAACGCCACTATTATATATTAATGAAGGCAATGTCCCATTGTCAGTAATTATATTATCAGGTATGTCCTGTAATTAATATTTCACACTCACGGTTTTTTGCGCGTCTAACTTTGTTGCATAAATGTCGCCGTACTGCTCTACCCGCTTGTCCCAAGTTCCTGAAGAGAAAAACACTTGCATCCCAAAGCACAGGCATTTCCAAAAAATCATTTTCTTGCTGGGTTTCCCATTGGTTTTCTCCCCACTACTATAGCCATTTTCTGCTTTAGTAAGAGGTAATGTGGCACTGCCTTCCTCCTTGTACTTATTGAAAAAGGACGGCGACATTTTGAATAAATAAAATAAAACTCCAAAAGAGAAAATGACTCCTCCTGTGATATCACATCCAGCATCGATGAAAAATCCCCAACTATCATGATGGGACTTATATTCATGCTGCTGGTTTTTATGACTGCGAAAAACCACCCCATCTAAACTGTCTAGCCAGGTTCTAAACTCGTAGACCAGTACCCCAATTCTTCTAGTTCTGAGAGAGTCGGAGGAGACAAACTTTGCTGCCACCAAAGCAAGAAAAAGATGGGTAAAACTGATCATATTTGGTGAGATAAAATAGAAAATCTTGCTGAATCTGGTAATTTCATCAAAGCGTTCTGACGTTGGATTGATGATGTAATGTTGAATGGGATCACTCATGAGCAACTTGGCCGAGAGGGGCGAGAAAGGAGAGTACGACCCCTCATGTTTTTGATCAATTAGTGTAGTATTTTGAAGAGAGCAGTATAGAATAATATCCATTATGATGATGTATAAAAAGAGCAGCAGTCCCAAAATAAAGTAACACCCTCGGTCCGATTTTAGGGACTGCATCATGTAGGAAAACATTTTGACTCCGTAAAGCTTCAAATCACAGATTAAAGACACAGCTACGAAAGGTTTCACATTTCAAAGTCCCATCAAACGTGTCTAACTCAAAGAATCTTGTCATTCCATTACAAAGAATCCTTCCATTAGTGAAATGCTGAACGTTTCCTATTCCTGTGTTGATGCTTAAGCTCCTAAAAAAAAATCCCATACATGAGAAATCAATAAGTATCATTGCAATATGTTCATTGATAGATAATAAAATGAGGAAGACCTACATGACTCATGCTGAAAATAAAATATGTATGGTTTCCAAAAATGTGTTATCTATCATAATTCTAAAAGAAGACCAATGTCACAAGCATGCAGGTGTGTGCATCTAAAGCTATGAATATGTAAAGTTACTTCATGGAAAGGGCTTATATTTTACAGATTTATCTCATATAAAATGTGCACTTGTACTGTATGAGACAGATGTGTCATACACACAAGTTCAGTTTTCTAAGTTTATCAACACTTGAGTGTAATGTACAAGGACACAACCTATTGCACTTGGCCTACATAACATAAAGGGGAAAAAAATCACCCTCTTAGGAACTTTATCAGGGAAAATGAATCAAACAAGATCCTCAGTATCAATTAACGTCTGCAAGACACTATGATATCAAGTAAATGTCTGATAAATCACCTATTAATTAAATATTTAATGAATATAATTACCAGTTAATAAGCTGTTAGTAACATTATACTATTGTTTTCCTTACTCCCCCTAATGTCAAGGCACTTGTATAGAACTGTGCAGTCTGTAATATAATCAACAAATTCCTGATGATAGGCAGTGTCTTGATTTGGCTAAAAATTGGGAAAAAAATAGGATCTAATCTATAGAGATCTTTCAAGTCAATGTTTGCATTATAAACAGGCTATTTTACATTCTTCTGGACAACTAACAGGTAAATACCTGATTCAGGTGATTTTAAATCACAAAACAAAAGATGTCTTGCTGTGGTCAGCAGGTACGCCTGAACATGCCATTTAAATTGTTTACTTCAAATCATTAATTCCACAGGCATTTTGTTCAGTAATTGTGCCTTGTTTGTCAACAAAGACAATCCTTCCATTTCGAAATTCGAAGGTTTCCCTGATTCATGGTTGGATTTTAACTTTTGTCAATATCACGTAAACAAAGTAAATGTGTCACACTATCTATCAAAATGACTATTCACCTGTGCCATTCAGATCTGAAGTATTAATGCTCAAATTCCCTCATCAATCACAAGAAAATTAATTCCATGATTACGAACATGTAAGAATAGTTAAGAATTTCACTGAAAGGTATCAAAGCACTACTAGTTTCTAAACGCCGAGTGAGAAAGTGTTAGAAATTATGTGTTTAAATAATCCATTAAGTGATCTGTAGATATCTCTCTCTCACTCTTCTTCAGCGACAGTTTTCGTACAATTATGACACTTTTGAAAGTACCCAATTTGACATATCACTTATAAGGGCTTAATTGACCTTTTTGGTATAAAGTCCTGTACCCTGTCCATTGAGAATTTTAAGTTGAAAATAATAACAGAAGTTGGAAATATTGATGAAAAAATTGTTGTACTATTAAACAATATATAATTATCATGATTATGGACTCTTTTGTTGGTGAATATGGTTTGATATTCGCCTGAAAAATATCGATATTGACTGAGAAAAACTTCATTTTTGTTTTCTTTATAAAGAGACTCATAACATGCACAAATTCATGTCCTCCATAAAATGTTAGAAATTTCAAACTACAAGTATCATGTGTGTTTGCCAATTATTGATTATGAAAAATAAATCTTAATATCATGTATTTCACAGGTTTCTAATGTTCAGGGGAGGGGGGTCTAAGTGTATGTACACTTAATGTCAAATTCTTTTTTTTTTCAAAAAACATCCAAAGATTCCTATCTGTTGAGTGTCCAAAATGCCATCACTTATTCTTGACATACTTTATCCTTCATTTATATTTTTGGAGGACAATTAAATCATACCTTAAATTTCAAAGAATATACACACTGAAATATTTGTTTACTTTATAAAAAACTAACTAACTAAAACATTATGTGGAAGGAAGCTCAAATCATATTTTTTTATGTTTGAAAGTTTACATGCAAGAAAATCACCATTTCAACCTACAGTGCAAAAAGGTTAAATTCATTTCCTTGACATATTCATAATTACTAGGATATCAACCTTTATCTTCATGTCCTTATGCAAATCTTGAATCAAAAAGGAGAAAACGGACAACTCTTCAAATTCCTATACTGCCTTGTTTGTCTCACAGATTCAAGCAAGAACCTGATTTTCATTACATTCTTATAATAAAAGAATATTTTTGGTTTGAATATGACAAATACCATCATGATTATAGTAACTTAATTACTTTTACTTAATTTTGGCCATCATGCAGTTTACTTTTATCACATGCCACTGTCATCAGGTCATATGTTTTTTATAATGCAAAAAAAAAAAAAAATTAACATTAAATTAAGATATCCATCAAAGCTTCCTTTTCAAAATAGCTTCAAGGTAAACGAGATAGGAAAAGGTAATTTTTAAGAAACACCTGAACGTTACATACACCAATTCAGTACACATTACTTGATCTAGCTCTTGTATAAATATCCTAATTTTAAACCTATTCTCTCTAATTTCTGCACTGATAAATTCTGTGATGTTTAAACATGTCAAAAATGCTTATATATATTTCGGGGGTTTCCATAGTGTTACAGCACAGAAAGATACTTGATAGTATGTTTACAATATTTTAGCACAATGCAAATAAACCATACATAGCTTTTCCCAATAAAACGCACTCTAATGATTAATGAAGACAGACACAACAGAAAAAGTTAAAACGTTTGATGTAAAAAAAAAATGTACGAATGTTCACAGCATTTACATTCAAATGAAGTAGAAATGAAACGTCTACCGTGACAAACCGTCAGCTGATTATAAATATACACCGGTTCATGTCCGTTTTTTGTTGCAAGAAAGCCTACTGTAGCTATTTTGAATGACAAATACACTACACTGTGTAAAAAATTATAAAGAATACAAAAGGTAGAAACTGAAACTAGATCCTACTTACCTTTCACGTCCATCACACAATAGATATTCGACGTAATAATTTCGGTGCGTGAACTCACCTATGACAATCTCTTCTAGACGCATGCGCACAACACAATAAGTTGTACATGAATGGAGTCGTAATATGCAATACTCATAAATTATTATGGAATATTGTGCGCTAGTACATGTAGAATGCCTTTTGGGCATTAAAAATCTATATAACAGACAATGAAATACATGTATTTCCTATATCAAACTTTTAATGACTTTAGTGCTGATTCGTGTTATTTTAAAAATGAAATAAATCTGGACCAGTGATGTATAAATTTTGAGGCATTGGTCAAAATCGGAATTTTAAAACAAAGTTAATTTTACCTTTACTTTGCGATTTTTGGCAAAGTATGTTGGAAAATATGTAAAATTTGTTATGAAAATATAATTTGAAACCTAATATGAATGAATATTCAGGGGAAGATCCAGAATTTTTTTTTCCGGGGGAGGGGTTCCATATCAACTCTTACAAATGTCAGACTCTGGATTTTTTTTTAAGCTTAAAAAATGTAAACAACTTGCCCAAACCTGAAAAACCTATTTCGTGTGTGTGAGGGTGTGTGGGTGTGGGTGTGTGGGAGTGGGGAGGGTAAAAGATACTAGGTCAATTTCCTCAGATATATTACTCTCCTTACCATTTTAAGAAGGGTCTGTGTTTCTTGGGGGGGGGGGGGTCCAAGGTCATTTTTTTCATTATATATATACACTTACATAAAACTCTGATAATTCCAGGGGGTCTGGATTCCCAATACTTTCCCTCTATATCCGCCCTTGAAAATTCATTGCATGCCTATAATAACATAAAATTTCTAAGAGTATTACCATAAATATATATGAAGGGCAAAGTTCCAACATTGAATGATTTAAAGAATTTTCTTCCAAATATGCTTCCACCACAAGAAATAGCCCTTCAAAAATCTTATTTCTAGTCAATTTTGTGAGAAGGTTTTAATTGATTGGTGTACATTTTGTATCATTTATTCAAATGTTATGGAACTTACGAAAGCCCATTGAGCTCATTTTCGTAGGTAACAAAAATATATTTTTCGCGTTATAACGCGAAACTTTCGCGAATAAACGCGTAACTTTCGCGTTATAACGCGAAACTTTCGCGAATAAACGCGTAATTTTCGCGATATAACGCGAAACTTTCGCGAATAAACGCGTAACTTTCGCGAATAAACGGGAGACTTTCGCATTATAACGCGAAATTATACATATATAGTCATGTTACTCAGGAACCTGTGATCTTGACTGACAGATAAAAAACATGAACGCAGAGGGGGACTTCTATGAATTTATAAATGACATTTCTTCTGAAGATGTAAAAGAGAATTAATGCGAGAAATGGATAGATTAGTGTTGAATTTGCATCTCAAAACCCTACTAATTAATTAAATGAATATTCCTTTAAAGATTTTCTTGTTTTTCACTTGTTGAATCCAAGAAATTCTGTAGACTAATTTTTTTTTCTCAGGAAGATCTCCACTCGTTGCTTTCTTTGAATAAGTTGTCAATGTTTTCGTAAGTAATGGTATGACCAAATGGTGCAGCCTTAAAATACAATGTTGTATTTCTTCAGTGAGTCTATCGGAGATGAAATATTTGATACGAATATTTGTCATCCAATTTTCACATTAGGTTACTCATGTGATGTGACACAATTGTTCCGTGACATACAAATTTACCTCATTGTTGTCAATTTTCTGAGATCTTTTATTTCAAATTCTGTATAGAGTGTTCAATCTAATTAAAATTAGACTTGTATTTTCGCTCCTCTACTATACGCTTCTACACTTGAACAGCATTGAGAAAGACAAAATGTGACGGCAAAAAAGATTTAGAAAGAGGAAAGACACATTCAATGGCGAGAAAACATAAAATTTCAGCTCGTGATAATCCAAGTTCAAAGTAGTCTTTCGTTTTTCACTGTAATGAATAAACTAGATCATTAAAAAGTAAAACAAACTGTAGACTTATGCAAATGTCTCTGTTTTACAGGGAAAGTTTCGCGTTATAACGCGAAAGTTTCGCGTTATAACTCGAAAGTTACGCGTTTATTCGCGAAAGTTACGCGTTATAACGCGAAAGTTCCGCGTTTATTCGCGAAAGTTTCGCGTTATAACGCGAAAAATATATTTTTTTAATCTACGAAAATGAGCTCAATAGTCTTTCGTAGGAACTAAATACATTGTAATAATTGGTAATTTTGTGTTTTTTTGCTTTGATCAACCTTTTCTCAAAAGCTGACGAGTGACACACTTCTTTATTTTTCACTTATACCTGTCAGCTATATAAAGATATTTCAAAACTCCAAATGAATAAAATATGTGGCTGTATCGTCTAGAACAGCGCGTACCTCATAGAATGACGATGAATTAAAATATATATACCCGGTTTATATTTTGTACTTACGGATCCTCTCTGCCTGCACGCTGTTCCCGCCCATCATGTGGGGTGATCAACTTGTTGCAGGCCCGTAGGAAGCAATTTCAGATGGGGAGGGGGGGGGGCACAGTCATATATTTTCAGTTGAGGGGGCACTATCAACTAACAAAAATTTCTTGACAAGCGAAAAAAAGGTCATCAGACGTTTTTATTTAGGGTTTCTATAATATGTTATCTATATATCGGCAAAATTATTGGGGGGGGGGGCAAGCCCTCCGTGCCATCGGAAATCTTGCCATCCATTCCCATCTAGGCTTATGCCGGTCCATTGAACATCACATAGGATTGCAACTAAACAACGGGTATGAGTCCCTTCAGTCCATACTTTCCCTCAAGCTGAACTTTAGTAGTATATCTACTAGGGAATTACAAAGGCATGCAGCCTTATTGGGGAACGGGGCAGGGGGCTAGCCCCTTTTTTCCGAACATAATGTTTTCTCTGAATTTAGTGTAAAAAATCATTGAAAGCCCCCCCCCCCCCCCCCACACACACACACACACACACTTTTATTGCAATATAGTAAAAGTCAATCATCCTATGTTAATGTAACACCCCTTTACAAAATAGGATTTTTAAGTTTGGACAATTTTCCTCTTTTTTAAAATTTTCTGTTTGCTTGTCACAGATTTTTTTTTAAGCAATATGAGCTGCAACTTTGAAGTCGGAAATTTTTGTTGTGAAATCTTAATTAAATATTTTTCTGACAGGAAAAAAAGAACATTTATAAACTTCTGTTGTTCATATTTGCGATGGAAGAATATTTATAAGCTTTGATTGGAGCAAAATTACATTATTGTCGTCCTGTACAATATTGAATTCTTATATAATACTATACAATTCATTGTACAGAAGTCTTTCTTCTGAAACAATTTAATACTTTATATTAGTCTTATTGATCATAAAGGCGTAAATTACATATAAAGTCATCATAATAACTCATTTTAACAGCAAAATAAAATTCTCAAAAATACAGCTCACATTGCTTTAACTAAGTTGTTTATTTTATTTTTTTGTTTTTGGCTGGTCAATCAAGCTCCCAGAAGCTCATGTCTTGCAAGAAAAATATAATATAGAAATAAAACCTTTTATTATACCCCTCTATCTGGTTATTCATTTCTTCAAAAAAAAACAAAAACAAAAACAAAAACTGAATACTGGAATGTGGAAATTCAAGACCATTTTGTAATAATGATATATATACTGAGATTCTTAATCATACCCAACCATGTAAATCAGTTGCACATGTTTGTTAATTATACTGATAAACCCTTTATCTAGGTTGTAAATAGTCAAATGATGACATAAGGAGAAAGATGTTTTAAATATCACTTCTCCTCTGGCCAATGACAGTTATATTAGCTTGTTGCAGTATGAATAAGTGACCGGTATACATTTCTTAACTTTTGTTTTTGTAAAAGTGGTCGGTGTCCGGTTTTCAGGGGTGGCCTGTTTAGTGAGAATTTATTTTAAAGGATTTTAAGATTTCTGTCGGCCGATTGGGGGGGGGGGGGGGGGAGAAATTTCACTGTAAAATAAAATTCATATATTGACATTTGTTTATTTCGATATTATTCTGTTCTACATCTAATTTAAGGACAGATCACCATAACATTAAAGCATTATCCTTTGAATGCGATGTTAACGGCATTAATTTGAAGCATAAATATCAAATTCTTCCTTCGTTGTTCTTATTATGAATCCTGTTTGACATAACTCTATACAAAGAATGTTTCGCGTTTCGCGAAAGGTTTATAACGCGGTGTTTTGCGTGTATTCGCGAAAGTTTGCATTATAAAGCGTAAGTTATGCGTCTATTCACGAAAGTTTGAAGTTCAATGTGCTTTCGTAAATTCGAGACATGGACATGTATATTTAACTATTTATGATAACAATTAATACAAATGTTATATTCCTCTTTACTACTTAAGTTCTTTAAAAAGATAGGTTATATTATTATATCACCTGAGCCAGAAGCTCAGTTACTTCTCTGATCAAGTTTGTATGTACATGTATTCATTTATGTTGTATAAGTACGATCACTTAATAGCTCTTTTGAGCTGAAAGCTTAAGGTTAAATGAGCTTTCCTGATCGCATTTTGTCTGGCGCTAGTCATATTATGTTAGTGCATCCTTCAGGTATTAAACTTTTAACATTTTCAACATCTTCCTCAGAACAACGGACTCAGTCTTAACCAAACTTGCCACAAAGCATCCTTTGGTAAAGACAGGGTTGTTCCTAAGACCTGGGAATTTCCCCGCCTATAATGATGTAATCCCCCCCTCGGTTATTCTGGTATTCCCCATCAATCCCCTGTTGCGGGAGAAACCCCAAACCCCCTTCTACTTATTTAATGTCCACTGCTATTTCAATTCTTATGGACAACACTGTAAAAGGAATTCAAGTTTGTTCAAATGAAGTGCCACATCCCTTTCAAGGGGAGATAATTAATTATTAGAAATCAAAATAATAAAAGAATATTTTTTAAAAAAAAAGAAGAAAATAATAAATTTAAGAATTTTAAATCTATTTCAAATTTACGGTAGATTTATATTAATTAAATCAAAGGCAGATCACTCTAACTGCATAAGACTACCATTTAATGAGAACTTTTTCTGTGAGTAATGTTGTTTCCTTAACACTATGAACAATTTTACAAAGAAGTTGGATTGCCCCCCCCCCCTTCGTTAAACGTACATTAACAACTTAACCCCTCTCCCACTTTTTTTAAACAAAAATATACTTATTAACTACGTAAATTCCCCCCTTTTCACTTATGGAAAGTTGTAAAAGTTTGAAAAGTATTTCAGTATATGAAAAAAATATAAACAATTGTCCATAAACCCTCCTCATGCCACATTTACATCTGCAAATAAATTTTTTAAGAACCCTCTCTACATTGCACACTAAAAAGTTCCGATTCTATGATATTTTTCTGCAGTTAGAGTGATCTGCCCCTTGAACCAAATTCCAATAAATTGAAATTTACAGTATTTTACTCACTTTGTAATTAATTCCCATTTTTATATTCTTTTTTGTTTTGTTTTTCAATTTATTTTCTAGTCGTTTCTTTTCGTACTTTACAGGTACCCATATTCCATTATATTGAAGAAAGTAGAGAATTCAAGGAAAAAATATTTATTCTAACTGCACACTGAAACATACTGACATCAAAATTTTTAACTTACCAATTTTATAATTTTAGCAATTATTACAATACTTGTATATAAATAATTATATACTTATCTTTGTATTATAGATACTGCTCATCACAAATTAAAAAATAAAATAATCATTATTTTACCATTATTGATGAAAAAATTGTTCTAAGTCTATCAGGCAAGCTGGTTAACATATGATAAAACACACAGATGAAGTTATTCATAGAATTTGACTTCATTTTTGCATTTTTCTTATAAAAACATTTTCTTATGAAAACCAAAGACTTATATGCTAAAATTTACCTCCCTGATAAAATTTTACAAATTCTCATCAAAAGGAAGGAAACAAATTATCAAAATTCAATTCACAAAATAGTCTATTTTCAGACAACTCATTTCCTGTCTGTTTTTTTCCCCCCAGGCTTAGTGTGCCCAAAACAAAGGTGCATGCAGATGCTTCACATAGAATGTAATTATAATGACCTAATATGAAAATGTTACTGTAATGAATTCAAATTGAAACATATCTGCAATTTTGATAAAATAATAATAATAATTTAATAATCACTCTGCCCATTTGATTGCTGGTACAAAAAGTTTTATTTTAAAACTTAAAGTCAGATGAATTGTAAATAAAAACTGATACACTGAAATTTTGTTAAGATGGTGTTAAATACATGCAGTCCTACTTCCTATCAAGTTTTCTGAATGAGTGTTTGTTGTGGAGGAACTTGAGCATTCTGTTCTTCTGCTATTGCTTTCATTCGAGCCTGCTGCTGTTCGAAAAACGTTGACATAAGTCTCTGATTGAAATTCACATATCTTCCCATGCAGGCATCAATGCATGACTTCTATTAAGAAATAAATGATTACACACTTACAAAGATGTTGACTATTTAATTGTAAAAGAACACATAAAAGAAAAAAAAATGTATCTGATTCTGCCTATGTCATTCTGACAAAAGTATGAAAATAAATTCTCATTTGAGTCATTTCTAAGATGTTATACTAATATTTACTCTTTTTTTCAATTTTTAAAAAATGAAAAAATAAATACCTCTTCATCTGTAAGTGTGTTCTGTCTGAATTTGGTTATGCATGTCGTGAAGCATCTCTCTGTCATTATATTGTGAGATAACAACACATCTCTGAGCTGAAATGAGAAAGAATAAGAGAATATTAAAATCATACTTAGCTGGCATAAATCTTTGTTTCTTGCAAAAGCTTCTTATATGTTTCTCCACTCCAAAGTCTGGGTATGAAGTGAGGAGAAGAACAGAATGAAGAAAGATGAACCCAAAGTGAGATGAGACATGGTGATGCTGAATACTTCTTGCAAAAGGGGAGAGATTAACAGAAAGGGAAAAAATGCCACAGCCAAAACCAGGATTCAAACCCAGGCCCCCTGAACTCAAGAAAGGTGCTCTACCAATTAAGCCATTTGGCTATTGAACCTGCCTGAACACCACATTCCTCCCTCTTTAAATATTTTAGCGTCCAAATGCACCAACTCAGGTTCTTCCTTTGCAGGTCTTTTACCTGTCACCTCCAAGACTCCCTAAACATGTACATGCTGAGCAAACAGTGAATGTGAATGAGCATAACTGGGTGAACATGGAAAGTACTTTGAGAGAAGAGGGCAAAAACATCTTAAATGAACAAAGTACAATTGGTGAATTGACAACATCAAACCCTTAAAAGGAGCAGTAAATAAATTCAGGGAATGAGTCAGTGAGTGTTTAAAAAAATTAATTTTGACAGAGCTTTATTAAAATTTTTTTATAGATATCTTAGATCGGATAGAAATCATACTAGGTGCTTGAGGACAGGACCCACACCCCCACCCACACAAAATATAGACCCCCGGGCCTATGATAAAAATAACAGATTTAAAGTTCAGCTATGTAATATATTATATATTAATATAATTAGATCGGATAGAAATCATAGGTGCTTGAGGATAGGACCCCCCACCCCAACCCACACAAAATATAGACCCCCCAGGCCTATGATAGGAATAACAGATTTAAAGTTCAGCAATGTAATATATATTAGTACATATTAATATAACATAATATACATGTTAATATTCAGAATGAACAGTGCAAAGTATAGAAGCAAATTCACTTTGCGACTGAAAATTCATGTAAAGTGTGTAGTTTCTATAAGAAATAGAAAAAAAACAACAACATAAAACTCCATGTGCAGGTCCAGCACAATCTCTTGATTTAGCTATATAGCTTGATTTAGCTATATAGTTTTATTAAGCTATTCAGGATAGCTTGATTGAGCTATTTTATCACACTTTTTTCTTAAATGTGTTATTTTCTCAGCATGCACAAAAAGTTGCACCTTTGTGCAGTGATAATAGCGAGCGGTGCAAAGCGCCGCTCGTCATTGCGAGCTCTAACGACAATGCCTGGGCGAAGAGAAAATTCGGACTACTGCACATTCATTCAATAGAATTTTTTTCCGCAGTAATTCTGGACACACAATGCATCGCTTGTTGTTCTCGCTGCTAACTTCATTCATGCAGTAACAACAACTAAAAATTCACAAAAAATAGACCCACCTTAATTTAATGGATATTGCATACAGATATCAAAATAAATGTTCTTCGTTAAGTTTTTTGCACTTTTCAAACTTCGTTTATGGAAATGCAGCTAACATACGATGTCATGTGATGTCACAGTCTAGACTTTCCAAAGGTCTCATGCGGTTTGAAGAGGCGGATCTTAAAATTAAGTGAACGATGCACTCGCCCCAACGGTTGCACAGTCAACATATTATTCAATCTTGAACTCTTCTAAAAATAATGCATGTAAAAATCACTCAGCAAATTGCGTCTCCTTAAGAGACTTTGTACTCAAAGTTCTAAAAGTTTTGGGGCTATATAAAGCAATTGATACAGTTACTTCTGCAATTGAATTATAAAGAAGGCCAATTATGGTCAACAAGATAATTGATTGGTAATAATTCAGTACAATGAGAAGCAATCATACTTATCCACGCCTCAACGCACATAAGATAGTGTACAGTTACTCAGACAATGGAAATACATCTTTTGCTTAAAAGTATTTTAATACTGCAATGTTAGAACTATCTTTGATTTTGGTTGTTGTTTTGATAGCCCATAGCACATATATGAATAGTCAAATACTTGCGACTTTTTGTCTATTTCTTACAAAAAACATTTTCCAGAAAAACTGCATATAAATAGCTTTATAAAGCTATATAGCTATTTCAAGCTTTACAGCTAAATCAAGAGATTGTGCTGGACCTGATGTGTGAAACAATGATGACAGTCATAATTTAAAAACAATGTGTAACCAACCATTGAGACCTCTCTCTCAGTTCCCTGAAAATTGGCATTCATGGTTAAGTTCTGGGGACAGTAAAAAGAAATCAACTAAACTACAATTGCACAGAGCCTCACAGAAACAGAGGCAATTCAGTCATGCCTTGAAGTTTTAAAAAATATTTAGTACCCCGATCCCGAATTACAATTTTCTTTTCAAATATTTTAGGCTAATGAAAAAATAATTTTTAAAAAATCCCATAATTTATAAGCTTAAGTTGTGACATTTTGTCAGATGAAAACCGTGTTTATTAATTGATATTGATATATTATATAGTTCATGAATACAAATTCGGAAATTTACCCAATCCCGACTTTGTTTCTAGACTATATTGATACGTCATCATCGACAAGGTGTCACGACACACAGACAGACAGCAGATGATACATTGCAAAATTTTCTGTCAAAAATTTACAATTAAAACATTTTCCAGGAATACCTATGGTAAGAGACTCGGCTATGGTATGAAGTCTTGCAAATATGCAATAATAACGTTAAGAAGATTGCAAAGAAAGGAATATTGAGATCTGTACATGCAAGCCATGATGTTCTTGTCATGGGTAAAAAGTTAATCCCAGCTTTCATGGTTATTTTGACCATTTTAAACACTGTTGTACGTTATGTCATGACCTTGAATAGATAGGAATAGACACTTTCATTTCCAGTTCACACAGATATAGCTTGCATTTTTTTAAGTGTGATTAACAGACATTTACAATGTATATGCAGACTTTAAGTGCTGAAAAGAGTATCTTTTTTCCATTCTTTGGTTACCTTGGTAACTAAGAGTCTGTGAACAAATTTCTAAAGGTTGTTATTTCATAAATTACAATTACTCCAGCTTACTTTTAGTTTCAGGATTTGAAAACTCGAGAAGAAAATAAGTTTGCACTGTAGTATTTACATTTATAGGGTTACAGAAAAATTAAATGAACATGCTTACAAGTAATTACTTACCTTTGCTAAACTTATATTACTAAACAATGTTCTCTTTTTCTGGTTGGACTCTTCAAAACAAAATACATGTGCACAGTTTCAAAGATTTTTTTTTCAACCTTAAATGCTCTGTAAATATATTACTCATTTTGCCCTAAGTTGAGTGAATAACAAAAATAAGTTCCCCCAACTGAATGCATACATGTAATGTTATATTAAATATATGTATTCATAACAGTGGAAATGGAGGAAATGATCAAGACAGGGTGGTTTATAGATAAATTGCTCACGCATACTGCTAAATGGGTCAAATAAAGGAGTTGTATGCCAAGGGCAATGCAACAATATGTACCTGTAAATTCACATTTTTGTCTCCCACTTTTGCGAAAGCGAGGGGACATTAAATCTCATTCGTCTGTTGTCTGTCCATCTGTCAGTCTGTCATAAAAACTTTAACCTTGGTCATAACTTTTGAATGAGAAGATCAAGATAGGGCTTTCATATTTCACATGTACATTACCTTTTACAAGACATTTCTAAATATACTTTGATTTTTGGCCCCATGACCTTGACCTTGAAGTTTGACCTACTTTTCAAAAATTTTAACATTACTTTAAATTTGCCATAACCTTTGAATGAGAAAGGATTGGGCTTTCATATTACACATGTACATTACCTGTGACAAGACCAGTGATTTTTTTTTTTTTGTTTTTTAAACCACCACCCCCTCCTTTTGAATTGGGAAAAATTAGCGACATTTTCTTCAAATTGGGAAAAATCATTTATAGTAAATTAGAATGCTAAAAAATACATAATATAATCAAACTAAGTGACAACAACAGTTTTTGTTTGATTTTAACTTTGAATTTGATTTAAATTCAGAAAATAATCATTTAAAAAAAATTTACATCAATATTTTATAGAATGTGAACATGGCTTATATTAGTCACACCTTGTAGCTTCTACAGTATTTTCTTGGAATCGCTTTGTCCAATTTCATAAAAAAAATGACCAGCATTTAGACTCATAATCTACCTAGTAAACTGTCTTATATTGATAATCAAGTTTACAGTCTGTACTGTTTGATTTTTCCCAATTTTAGTGAAACCATATGTGTTGTTCATTTCTGATATTAGCCTGACCCTCTATATAATAATGGCAGTCAAACCAAAATCATGATGTCAGCATGCAACATTACTTGTATCTTGGAACTATTTACCAATTCATTTAGGATATTATAAGCTACTTATCTGCTTATATGGATATCTGCATTGTTTTACACATTCATTAAAAAATGGGCTGCATGTGCATGGATTTGGAGAATGAAATTGAAGAATAAAAACGTATTTGTCTGCAAATTTAGCGACTTTTGTTCAAAATTAAAAGATAATTTCCATATGTTTGAAATTGGGAAAAATAACGGTCTGGAGGAGGCCGAATACCAGTACTCGATATCTGATGTCCTAGAAAAATGCATATACTAAAAATTGGGAAAAAATAGCTAATTTTTGTGAGGGGAAACAGCCGAATATCGGTGGCATTTTGACAAAAAAAAAATCACTGAAGACCTTTCTAATAATTTGATTTTGACCCCTTGACCTTGAAGTTTGACCTTCTTTTCAAAAATTTAATCTTTGCTTATAACTTTTTATTAAGAAGAGGTAGGGCTTTCATATTTGATATGTACATTACCTGTGACAAGACCTTTTCAAATATTTTATGATCTTTGACCCTGTAACCTTGAAGTTTGACCTACTTTTCAAAAATTTAACATTACTCTTAATTCGTTATAAAATTTGAATGAGAAATTGTAGGGCTTTCATATTACACAAGTACATTACCTATGACAAGACCTTTCGAAATGTACTATGGTTTTTGAACCCGTGACCTTGAATTTTAAACTACTTTTCATAAAATTAGTCTTTATGTATAACTTTTGATTAAGAAGAGATAGGGCTTTCATATTCATGATATTTGACATGTAAATTACCTGTGGCAAGAACTTTCCAAATATACTATGTTTTTTGACCCCTTGACCTTGACATTTGACCAAGACAGTTACAATATGCCATAAATAATGGCATCCCATCCACTAAGACACCGAAAACTGGGGACCACAATTCTTTGAATTTGCTTGTTTATCCTTATTTTTTATTGAACAATTGGTCCTAATCCTGAAATTTTTTCCCAACCCAATCTAATTTTACCGTTAAAATTCCTTACTAACTTAAGTTTTGAAAGAAAGAAGTACTCTTTTACGAATTACAAATGTATCACCCAAATAAAACAGCATCCAACTTGTGGAGAAAACTTCATATTTAATAAGAGCAAAAAATTTCATACTTAGAATAAAGATTAGATTTGAATGTGAAATGTAGTTCAAAGTACAGTAAAAGGGGTCAGAATCAGTCAAATTTTCCTTGATTTTTAAGCAATTTCTTCAAACTGGTGTGTTTTCTTTCACTCACATGATTTTATTTATGTCAAGCAGAAGAGACTGCAAAACAACCATAACAACCATTTTGAACTTTTTGGTAAATTCAAACAGAATACTTAATATTTTACATATGATATTTTAGTCTTACCCTGCTTATATGGGAAATAAAATTTCCAGTAATTCTTATATTTATTTGTCCAAGTACACTACCTCCACCCTTCTGAACTAATTATCCTAATGTATTTATTATTTGTTTAATAAATAATGTAATATACATGTGTTTTCTTAGATGATGGCAGATTCAGGTCCAGCATATAATGGGAATTCAAAGGCAAATGACACATTTGAGCAGGATTTGAAGGACATCCTGAATGATGGACAAGATCTGACAGATGTACATAACACTGTACAAAGTGGATCCCCCAACAAGATCATGACATCCTCCTACCCGGGAACATCCACTGGTAACTTTGGAGCACAGTCTGGTCTTACTCGCTCTTTCACTATGCCTCCTGGTGTGTGTGTTTCCATGCTCTTAATTAACATTGCTAATTTGATTACATATATATATTTTTAAAGTGTGTTGCAAATATATCTAATCTCTTGTGTATCTGAAATTTTCTAATATCTTTTGGAAATTTTTTGAAGTGCTAATGGCCAAGTGTTTCCTGTAATTTGAAGTGCTATTTAGACATTTAGTTGAATATAATCTTAGAATTCCTTGCTTCACTTCTGAAATTTACTTTATCTTTTATTCACCTCTGTAGTGATCACTATGTTCATAGATCTGTGTCAATCACTTTTATGTGTGCACTTGAGTCAATATATTTCTACACAGGTCATGAAATTTATGGGACAACACATATTTTGGGGTCACTTTATCAGAGGTCAAGCTCAAAGAGAAGTGTATTGAAAAAAACATTACATATTTATGTGATGCCATATTTAAACGGATAAACTTTGTTTTGTGACACAAAAATTTTGGTATGTTATAATTGAGTACGTAGAAGATTTTTGAGAAAGAAGTACATAGATATATTTTGAGGTCTGTTGGTCTGAGGTCAAGGTCAAAATGCTTGTATCCTCGATGCAAGTCTCTATGTATTTTGTATATTTTCCATCTCTTCTAAAACATGATGCAAAGTCCTAATTTCTCATTTCTACACTTTTTAAATTTACTTTAATTTTTAAACAAAAAAAACATTGAAATTTCGGTATGTTCATATCTTTTTTACAATGTTTAAGCTAATCTTGACAGAATGCAGAGTGCTCATTTGGATTTTTTTTCCAGCAACAAGCAATATTCCATTATCATCACAAGGGGGTAGACAGAACAATGGTGGGGAGTTTATTCCCAAGACAGTGCATGCTGCACAAACAAAATTAGAAACCATCAAACACTGGAGTATGAACACCTTCAAATGTACCAAACAACTCATCTCAGAAAAATTTGGCAAAGGCTCCAAAACTGTGGACTTAGAATTAGAAAATCAAATTGAAACCCTGAGGGATATGCAGAGAAAGTATGCCAACATTTTACGGTTGGCAAGGACATTAACTAACCATTTCTACCAGGTTGTGCAGACACAAAGGGCTTTAGGAGAGGCATTTGCTGAACAATCTCAAAGGAACCCAGAGCTTCAGGAAGAATTCTCCTACAACTGCGAGACACAAAGGAATTTGGTTAAAAACGGAGAAGTTCTGCTCGGTAATATAATTTTATCATTATAAAATACATTTTATAAAGTTTAATTTTCATCAGTTGATGTGTTGATTTGTTGACCACGCATATTTTATATATAATTCAAACTTTGTTGGAATCAAAGAGGAGTAGCTCAAGGTGTCTTATTTAAATTTTTAATTGAGGTCATCTCTTGCAAGTACTTAATTCAGAATTGAAGAAAATACAGTATATATGTACAGTATATTTTTTCCAACACATTTATTAAACATATAGTGTAAAACATTATGCAATGGCATTATTTGAAAAAAATGTTCAATGTAAGCAACAGGTATGAGATTTCTTAAAAAATTGGAAAAGTGGAATTCATTTCATGTTTACAGAATTACAAATTACAGCTCATTATGGTGCATCAATTGTACTATACTGCCCAGTGGCATTGAAAAAGATCAAATAACTGCTAAGCATTGCTAACTCATGATCTACTGGCAGTTAAAGCAATGTGTCCAAAGTAGGAGACTGTCTTTAATGAATTTAGCACATGTATTTAAGGCAAAGTGAATTTTTAGCAAAACAATAATTCAGCTTTCTATTTTCTGTTCTCTGCAGGTGCAATGAATTTCTTCACATCTTCAGTCAACACTCTTTGCAATAAGACAATGGAAGACACACTCCTAACGATAAAAAATTACGAGGCAGCCAGGTAAGTTACTTGTGCATTGAACATGTTGAATTTGTTTGACAATGGCTCTACAGTGAGTAATGGGTGATAAATGTACATTGACACAGGCTTATAGCAAAGTACCAGGAATGAACAGTTCTGATTTGTTGAAAGCGTAATTTTCTTTATCTGATAAGTTAGAAAACATTTTAAAAGAACAGGAAATCAATGAACATCACCTTGTTGCAAGTGTGAATTCATAATGACATGTATAGTATGTATCTTCATTGTAACCATGCTTTACTGTACTTAGAACTCTGTATAAAACTTGTAAAACTATGTATTTGTATAATATATTTTTAAAATATATGTGTATTTGTAATATATGTACTTTTTTATTTCTGTGTAATACCATCCATCTCTTTGTGTTCGATGTATTTCAGGTTGGAGTATGATGCATACAGAAACGATGTTGAGACTCTTCAGTTGGGTCCCAGAGAATCTACTCCTGCCCAAAAAATACAAGAGGCCCAGAAAAAGTTTGAAGAACACAAAGAAAAGTTTGAGAAGCTAAGGGGAGATGTTGCCATCAAGTTGAAGTTTCTAGATGAAAACAGGGTAATTTTGTAAATAAATATGGATTGATCATCGATGGTTTTGATCTTAAAACATTAAGAGCAGAAAAATATATGCCAAGAACACAAACCATCTTACAAACTTACCTTCTTTTTTTCATCTGAAAAAATGAAGATGGCTGCTAGAAATATAACATATTTAGTAAGATTCTTAATGTATAAGCTATGCACTTAATGTTTATTGTGTGAATTGTTTACAGGTCAAAGTCATGCACAAGCAACTTCTGCTGTTCCACAACGCCACATCGGCCTACTTCTCCGGGAATGCCACTGCCCTGGAATCCACACTCAAGCAGTTTAACATCAAACTGAAATCTGCCAACACGGATGGTCCTTCCTGGTTAGAGCAGTGAAATCATAAACCTATCTAGTCATGTGAACCATTGTGAAAACTAAAACCATGTGAGCATCATATTGATGAGAATGACGAATGTGAGAGTTGCTTCCCTTGCTCACCCTATTCCTGACATAAATACTTGATAAAGTCCCAAGTTCTATCATTGCTGTTTTATACTCAAGCTTTTCTTTGTCCATTTCATTAAAGTGGGTTACATACAAGGTTGAACATAAACAAACAAGAAGCTTAGATTTTTTTTTGTTGCTTTGATTTATTTTATGGAGCAGGTGAATTATTTTGTTGTAGTCACACTAACACAAGTACATTCCAGATCTGGGTGATATTTTATGTCAAGAAGTCAAGATTTCATGGCTCTTCTGGTTGACAATATTTGTTATATCATCTCAATACATTTTAGATGTATTTGTTGTTTTAAATTCTGTGTTGATGGATGGTAGTTAGAACAGTTGCTGAGATTTTCATTGTATGCATCTTGCTTTATTGATTGGAAAATAAATTGTAATCAATTTCAGTCCGTATGTAAATCATACATGTATATAAATTGTACTTGATGAACCTGTAAACAGCTATGCAACATAATTTTACTTTTCTAAAGCTATTATTGTGGTAAAATTTGTTTTATTAACAAGGGCTCTTTAAAATTTAAAACTCAATTAAACTATGAGTTTTTAACCATTTTATGAAATACTCTTATAGATTGATGCATATACATTTATTGCATTGATGTTTCAGTTGTATTTATGTTATCATCAAAAGTCCAGATACATGTATAATATTTCTGTCATTCTACAAATTGTATTCTATCAAAGTTTGACCCTAGGGGTTGTGGATTGAAAACATTGTGGTAATTACTTGTTGACTTGTCTTTATGATTTTGTCAAAATGACATTCTTGACAAGAATTATTTGTCTTTCAAATAGTTACTTCCGTGATATGATACACAAACTGCTAATTATGGACAATTTATGCTTATTTTTCATTCATGTTAAATATTAAAATGCTTGAGCTCGTGGCTAGTAATGAATCATCAGTGTACATGTATTTGTTCAAAAGTTAAAAAGTTTGGGGAGGGAGGATTCACGTGTAAAACATGAAATGGAGAAATTTTTGTCAAGTGACTGGCATTTCACAATTTATGAAAGAGAAGCAAGTTTGTAAATTTAAAACAAAAAAAAAACTGTATATGGAGATATAACTGCAAAATTTCAAATTAATATAATTTTTTAAATGATGTGAAAAATTAAAACAAACTTTTCAGAATGTTTGTATTTTATTCTTGCAATTCTTAACAAATGTTTAAATGAAAATTGAGTTATCCAAAATAATTTTGACTTTTAGTATTTCTCAGTCTATCAGCACTCTCTATAGTGTCCCTCCTCCCTACCTCTTCTTAAGTTATTGATTTGCATTTGACTGTTTCAGTTGCCACCTGCATGCAGTTGTGAAACATTCATATGTTAAAAAATTGTAAAGGAATACATCTACAAGGAAAAATGTTAACTTTGTTTGGCTGCAAGATTTCGACTACTGGATACTCATTTCATTTAAATTTACGGTTTACAATTTCATCAAGTGAACATATCTATCTTTGCAAATATACCTCTGTCCACATGTAGCATCGAAAAAAAAAAATTTCTTTCATGCTTATTGAAATCCACATCTTGCAATGTATCTTCCATCCCATTTAGAAATAATCTATGTGATACACAGCAGTAACAAAAGAATTCTAGGAGCCCCATGTAAATACTGTGTTTACACTCCATGTTTATTTATTTACTGAATGCTTATTTTGTTGTAACTTGACCTGATTTTTACATGTACATGTATTTTATAAAGACAACTGTACACTACTGGGTTTTTCTTGATTTTTTTAATGAATGGTATATTTAAGTTTTCAGTTATTTATTATATGTATGCAGTATATATTATATACCTGTCTCTGTAATGTACAATTTCATGCATTCATATTTAAAATGAAGTTGTGATTAAAATTTACAAACCTGGCAATTTTTTTTTTTTACTTTGTAATGATTTTTGAGAAATGAGATGGTAAGTGAACCAAAAGTAATTCTACATATCATCACCATGAATATTGTCTGAAATTATGGTCACTGAATTAATCTTTTTATTAAGGGATGGCTGACCAAGGAAGAGAAATTCTATATGATGCTGGTGAATTTTAGGGTTGTTGTCCCAATAAAATAGCATAGAAAGGAGACTAAATATACACATATTTGTATGAAATTATGATAAATATCTCAGGCAGTCAATCCCCATCAAAATCAGCACATTTCATGAACCAGGTCACCAGACTAGCCTGGATTCTGATGATGTAGAACTTTACCATGCGACTATCTCTAGCCATGCCAGTGTAGGACAGGCTACACGTGGTTCTTAAGCTGAAATTAATAGTAAGACGTCGATAAATAGAACACACATGTCATTTGAAAATTTAATCAAAGCCCGAAGAGGTACCAGAATGAGACATGGCAGATCTTTGTACACGATTAGCAACAAAGTTTGTGGTGTCGATGAATCTGTCAACACAGTTTTTGATGCACTGTTCAGCGGAAGAACCAAGTTTGTTTCCTGGAGAAGTGACACAATAGTCAAAACATTCCTCTGTCAGCTGCTGGACCGTCGCTTGAAATTTTTGTCTTTGTTGTTCTCCCTTAAAATTTATACAATGCTTTTTTTAAAAATATTTTTAAAGGAATCATTGGTCAGCTTGACATAGAGAAAATTCGAGCTACATATCTGATGTATAACTGATAACGGCTTTTATGTTTCCTAGATATGATCGCGACTTAACTTCAATTACCTTTATGAATTGCTGCATCACTGGATCCTGTAATATCTCCATGATTTATATGACACAGGTAAAGCTACACAGTTCAAGCTAATGAGTGGTGTAAGTGGTGATTATCAGTATCAATCAGAACAGAGAAAACGTGGGTTAAAATTAGGCAATCCTTTCGTTATCTGTTTCGATCGATCCAAGTCACGTTTGGAAAGGGGGGAGGTCCAAATACTGTTTTCATCCCCCATGTTACAGACCTATACCAAAGAGAGGTAACTGGAAGTAAAAGTGTCAGAGAATATTTTAATGGTTGTGAAGTGTGGGGCTTTGACAATTTAAATCTGAAAAAATCGACTCCTCATCATGTTTTATCTTAAAATATGGAATGGAGTGCTACGAGTATATTGCCCCGCTTAAAATCCACTGTTTTAAATGATTGTAATTATTGTTTGTCAGTATATTATATCTTCAATTTTTTCGATAGAGTTTCATGACTTGCATATTGCTAGTCAGAGCGTTTCAGACTGATTATCAATTCAATTCAATTTATTTATTGATTCACCAAACATGTTGGCATACAACCATGTTACATACAAAATGAAAAATTATCAAATAAAACTTCTTTTATCTGAAAATAAAACCTACGAATTTGATGGCATTCATCCTTGTCCTTAAGTTCAAGGCATTAAACCGAAACTTTTTTCCCAAACTAAAATAAATATTTACATTTCCAAATATTTTCCCTTAAGATTCTTTGCAAATTAGAAGGCTGTTCATTTTCTCATGAACTACCATGGATGAGCATGAATATCTCCATTGTTACGTCATAATGCCGTACTTGACGTCAAAACTATAGTGCAAACTGTTTTGCTTTAAAAATGACATTTGGACAGCGTAATTTGTGGCAACTCATCAGAAAAATAATGTAAATATAAGAAATGAATTTAATTCTTGAAGATTCATGAGGTACATGAACTACAACGGTTCACGCCGGCATATTTATCATGAAGCGCTAACGCGCTTCATGAAATATGCCGGCGTGAAGCGTCGTAGTTCATGTCCTCATGAATCTTCAAAAATTAAATTCATTTCTTCAATAAATACATAAATAAATAATTAAAAGAAACAAAACAGCAATGGAAATTTAGCATACCCCATTAATTCGAGTGCCTTGCAATAAACTTGCCCTATGATATCATGTAGCATAATAGTTTATTCTTTTAGACAGAAAAAAATGTTTTTAAAAGTTTGTGAAGGTAATGATCCAAGATTTTTATACAAGAATATTTTTCATGAAGCGCAGGCACTGTGCATAGGGCGATATGTTACGGTCATCAATTTTACCAACGTCACAAGTAGTTCACGTCATAGTGTGTATGACGTCATAATAGCCTATATTTATTGTGGATAGCGCAGTTTGGTCGTCAGGCAATATAAAACAAAATGGGTCTATTCCAGAGTTGCATGCGGAAGAATAAAGTAGGCATCCTATCAGATGAGGAGGAGGATGCTTACAAAAAGATAGAGAAGATGAACAATGAAGATGTGGAAGAGGAGGTTCACACTCCATCTCTCCTAGACGCGATGTTTTGTGTGACACCGAACGAAGTCCCTGGCGACACCAAAAGTAATGATGAACCTAGATCAGATGACACTGGATCAGAGGTTATTGAAAAGAGTGAGTTGGCGCACCCCACCTCCAAGTCGAGTGTTCCCAAACTACCTCCAATCAATGGAAACATCATGAGAATCTTGATTCTTCCCATTGACGATGAGGCCGCGTACCAGGAATGGAAAGGTAAAATGAAATCCATTTAACAGATAAGTTTGTTATGAAATTCATAATGACTGATATTATACGTATAGACATTATTTTGATTGCAGAAAAAACTCACAAAGCTCTTCGGGAGAACGGTCTGTTGAAAGAAGACAAGTTGGCGGAAAGAAGAAGAAAACTGATTGAACGGGGCATGCAAACTGAAAAATTAAAAAAAGAGACAGATACATAATATAGTTACATGTAACAACATGGAAATGATGCCGTCTTCAAAATAACAATGACTATAATATCTATTTATTTACATGCATTTATCTTTTTTATTACTTTAATTATTCCATTTATTTATTTGTGTTCATTTATTTTTTTAATGTGAGAATAGAGGGGACACCCGAGCTCTTTTACCAGTTGAGATCTGGCTTTATAACTTAATTATTTTCTTTTTTCCTTCGACCATATATATGTACTTGTATTTGAATTTTCCAGGATGTGGGCCTCGGAGACAGAACTGAGGCTCATTTTCTGACCAATTTTACTTTTTCAAAATTATTTTCGGTGTTTTCTTTTCTGGTAATAAGGCAAGTGAGGAATGTCACTTTGTTGAGTAACCAGTGCAAAACGACTCCACATCTTTCGGAACTTTCGGGGAAGGATTGGGTTCCCTGTCAAAAACTTAAAATGTAATTATCTACATGATACATCCATTTAGTAAAATCCGTTGTCCTCTCTTGTTTATATTTAATTTATAAAATCTCTGAAATAATAAAGATCACTATCAGGTTATCTCTTATGTTTTTTTTTTAAGGATTGAAGGCTCAAGTGACCTTTTCTGATCAAAATCCGTTGTCTGTCGTTGTTGTCGTTATAAAACTTCTCACAATTTCATCTTCTCCAAAAACATTGTGCCTATTTCAACCATATTTGGTAAGGAGCATCCTTCGGGAAAGGGGATTCAAGATTATTTTTCCAAATGAAGGGCCACATTCTCTTTCAAGGGGGGATATACTTAAGGGTTAGTAAAAATTCAATTGTATCATTTTAAAAAAAAAATAGATCAGTAATGAAAATTTATTTATATAACCCGAATTCTCGTATTAAACTGAAGTACAACACACGCTCTCTCTCAGAGGGCGCGTTGTTTCCATGGTGGCAATGCAAAAAAAAAATGTTTTCACTTGTTAATTATATTTTTGTTCTTCTAATTTTTACATGATATATAACCATAATTATTTTTATGCTACATCCCACATTTTTTCATAAAATGCTTGATGGTTGCTGATTTTGACTTCTAAAGCATATATTTCTGCACCATGTTTTAAATTGTCAAACTGCAGGAAATTTTACATCATTTAACGTAGGTCGCGGGTTTGCTGACGTCATTAAAACTGAGTACGCAATTTATATGATTTGGGCGACTTTCTTGTGCACATTTGATTATGACATCACAATGAGTAAGACATTTTTTTAACTCTTCAATACAACAAGCTGAAGTTATCACAGATTGAAAACTTTTTTTAAATGATTTTTTAATGTTCGAAAATAGAAAGCGTTAGAAAGCGTTTATTTATCATCACATTGAGGCCACAACAGTATCACGAAAAGATGCGGAGCAACTGAACAAGTGTCAACTGCATGATTATTATTTTTTTTTTCCTTTGACGTATTTTAATAAAAAGTTTGTTTCACTGATAAACCGTCATTATATAAACAACCGCAGTTACAACTGTTATATCAAAAGTTTAAACTTTATTTTTAAAAAGGAAATTTTAAAAAAAAAAAAAAAACAAGTATATCTATATCACAATTGAAAAACTGCTCAAGTATGAAGCATAAAACATAAAAACGACACAGACCTTCTATAATAACAGCTTACAATGCTGTTAGCTTCAGATTATATTTAATTTGCTTTTCCGGTCAAGCAAATTACCCGATAAATTGAAAAGTCGCTAAAAAAAAAATCTGGCTAGTAAATTGTAGCCTGTTGATAAGGCAAGATAGAATTAATTTTTAGATTTTCATCTCCATTTACCTCTCTCAAAGTGTTTCGTCCGATGGCTTTTTAAAAATTCTTTTCAGAAGTATTTAAATATAAATTCAAGGTAAAAGTTTGGGAGGTATCCCCCATTTGTATGCGAAAAACCGAATAAAGAATAAATAATAAAAAAAAAAAAACTGGCGAGGAATGCAGTGTAAATGCACCGTATAAATACAGATATGTAAAGAGAATTAAGGCAGTGATGTTTAACTAGATTTAGATACATCTATTATCATAGAAAGATTTGAACAAAGTAAAAGTATTGCGACGAAGAAATTAAAGCTCCAAAATAACAGAATCTCGGAGCTAGAGGTACTTGTGTGTTATTTCGACTGATTAAAAAAGATTGCTGGCAGACTTATTAAAAATTCGCGCTAAAGAAAACAGGGATATTAATTCGGTAGGAATCTGAGGAGGGGCGTGCCCCCATAATTTTTTCAATGTGTATAAAATACTTTAGAAAATCGAGCTAATTTACAGTTGTTGTCCCCCTCGATAATATTGCCAGTACATGAAAATAATATGCATATTAGAAAACAGAGGTAATTTGCGGTTGTGCCTCCTCAAGAATGTCTGCTTCAGGCCCGTAGAACGCGGGGGGGGGGGGGTGTTCCCACTTTTTTTCTGAGTATAGCATTTTGCTACAGTAATTTAATTTTCCTATAGATGCATGCTGGTTCCCCCCCCCCCCCCCCCCACACACACACACACACTTTTTGTTGCTGTTATGTCGAGCCTGGCAAATCCAGGATTTGGACAGCTTATGTTTTTTTTTTTAGGTTGCCCCCCCCCCCCATATTGAAACCATTGCTACGTGCCTAAACTTGTCTGTATCTGTTAGGTTGCCCCCCCCCCCCAACTACAAATTACATCCCATGTTCCTGTGTATCTTGGTGTTTAAAAAAAACACGCTCATCAAAGAATAAATTCTTTAAACTATTATAACGCCATGTTTTACAAATACTTTAACAATATCGAACGGTGTCAAGAATGAAAAATCGGACGCTCAAAAAATGACAAAGTTCGGTGAAAATTTGTGATCTTTTCATATAAAACACGAGTAGTTCTTGTTTCTTATTTTTTATTTACCAACAGAATTTGATTTATTTGGAAAAACGCTGCATGACGATATGTGGTGATACCTCAGCGACATCCTGCTCGTATTAACATTACCAATGTGAAAATTCCGTATACGGGTCATTTGAAAGCACTTGATATACGTATCACAGGCATCGGAAGCAAATAACATCTAGAATACAAGTGTGTTGGGGGTCCAAACTTCGTTGATCGGTATTGAATTAAGAAAAAGTTTATTTGTTAGCACTTCAGCTGTTCCTCGTGAAGATTATTTATTTAGGATTTATATCAAGCAAAATGAAACAAAAATTAGTCTTCGATGTAGGAGAATATTGGACATATAACGTATCATTTCAACTTTACAGAGAATAGATATGTATTTGTTGAAAAAAGATTATTTACTATACTCATCCCCTACCACATTTGCTCCTGAATAATAGTTGTACCTAACCACTCACCATTTCTCTTCCCTAACGTTTTGGCGATTACTCATATTCTTACTTGTCAGAAAATTTTGAACTTTTTTTTTCTAATTTTATTCTCTAATTAATATTCGTTCCCCCATTCTTGTAAGAAAAAAGTCTCTGAATCACGCTAGGAGTACTGCTCCTGCAAGCACACACCCCCCCCCCCCCCAGCTAGCCTTCTCTGTCTTTCTCTCTTAGTTACAGCTTAAACAAGGTGTTTCAGACAAAATACATTGTTACATAACTCATACATCTGTGCTTATTTTAAATACAAACTTTACATTAAATATATATAAACATAAATTTCTTCTTTTTGTTTTTCTGCACTTTATACCGAGCTTGACCTCGCGATAGTTTATAGCGTCATTCTTAAAAATGCTACATTTTGTGATGTAAAAGCAATTATTCGCATTTAAATTACGAGAAAACTACCGGTAACTCGAAGACATATTAATTTTTTTACATAGATTTATCTGAAATCATCTCTGTGTGAAATGACCAAAAGGGAAACAATTTCGTCTGCACCATTTAAAAGTTACGGAGATTTTTTGAAAAGAAATCTTTCCTGAAAACGAGTCAAAAATGACGTTTTCTCTATAGAATTCAATAGAATAACGTCGAAAATATTACGACAACGATGGCATGTTTGGGATTTAATAACACAAAAACAGTGCAGACGAATTTAATAAAATTTTCAGAGAATGTACAACAATAGTAGGAGATTCATATATGTGATTTTCATGGTATGTTTTCGAGCAATTTTAAAAGGTCACCAAACCCGCGACCTACGTTAAATTCAATGTTTCATTGTATAATTGAATTACTGTTGGAGAAAATGTATTCTATAGGTAAAAAGAATTAGAGCTGCTTTGGATTTACTAAATTAATGATAAATACTATGGTAAGAAGTGCAAGCAAGTAGGAATTATGAAGCAATTTCAGTTGGAGCATGGAGGGGTGGGGAAAACTAAATGGAAATTCCTTCGTCAAACATAAATGAGGTAAACTGAACATAAATTGATGAGGACAAGACCGTCTATAAGTATTGGTTTTAACTGTACAGAATATGTTGGCAAAATTACATGTAGTGTGAAGGGGGATAGGTGGATCAGGGGTTAATTTTAGGGAGTGGGATCTGTGATAGTCCCACACACTTGATCCATTTTTTTAGATCCGCCACTGCAAGAAAATATACATGTGTGTAAACAGTACTTGTTTAAAATATAATCACTTATTAAGATGTTCATTTGTATTTATGTTTTTATATTTACTGTCGTACAACTAAATGAAGGAGGGGGTGGGTTGCTCCATCCATTAATTTAATTTAATTTTGCTGTTTATTGAATATAGAATTTTACATTGAAAAGCTCCCTTTTTTGTTAGAGTACAATCAAACCTAGCTTCCACTGAATATACTCCGGACCCCCACTCCCCCCAAAATAGGTCGATCTTTTTTTTTATTTGTCAATTATCTTTTGCTTGTGTGTTTTCTTCCCACTCTCACCCAGCCCCCTTGAAAAACGATGCTTTGTATCTGTCTCTTATTCGAAAGGCGCAAATATCTAAAGAGTTAGATAAGTAATTCATTCATTCTCTCTCTCTCTCTCTCTCTCTCTCTCTCTCTCTTGCGTCTGAAGCTTTGTAATCATAGTAAAAATACAGACTTGCTATAAAGTGCAAATATATGTATAAACCAGATGAGACTATGAAGACTTCAACCGATAAAAACTAATGCACAAAATAAATATAGGATATACATTGTTTTGTGGTTGGAAATGGAATTTATTTCACGAGTGAAATAAATTCCGTATCCAACAGCAAAACATTGAATTTTCTGTTTATTACACTTCTTTGATTTTCCCTTTGCCTCTGCCTTTTCTTTAAAAAAAAACATTGTAACATTGATTTTAGCAACATATTTGGGAAGAAATTGGCAGTGGCGGTTTAGTTACTATATCTTTATATTATGACAGACCAAAATAGTTTTTACTTGGTTTGATATACTTTCACACTGTAACAGAATATCACTGGTATCCTTTCACACTGCATGTGAGAAAATATCACTTTTATTCAATAAATAAATCACAGTATTTCTCTGCTAAAAATGTAATGTTTCCCGCTACATCGAAACCTGGTGTTTACATCTATTTTAGCTACAATATAGCCTTTAACAAAGTCACTGTATCAAAACAATCTAAGTTTTGCAAAAAATATTTCATGGGTCGTCTAACTTTCACTTTGGCATATAATTTTCTAGACATTTGGCAAATTCATAGAAAAACAACTATGAAAAAGTAATTGATTTCATAATTATTTCGACATTTAATTAACTGATCAGATAATTTAGAAAAATATAATATTTTCAACTAATAAATAAATCATAAATCTACTTAAGGATTTTTTTTTTGTCCTCCCAGTAACACAGATCCGACATTTTAGCTTGTACACCATTTTTGCTTATTCAGGGTAGACATCGAAATTAACGAAAGTAGAATTTTAATTAATTTACGATAATTGCTGATCATGTAAACTTCATTTTTGTTGTTGTTGCTGTTTGTTTGTTTTCAGACATCATCTCATATGGTATGTAATATAGACGGTGCAAGTAATTTCTCTTTTTTGATAAAATTTATATTATTTATCAGAGTAGATTCGTATGAAAGTGTACTTGAAAGCAACTCACTTCATTTTACACTCGATGGATTAACTCATAATATGTTTACCCGATGATTATGTACACAGTTTGTCCGTACTTGTAAAGGTATTTAACACATACATGTATTCGTTTCATAAATTTGTAAAAACGAAAGTAGCTATGTAGGATGTATCAAATGTCGGAGGAAATAAATCACAAACTTTTAAAAGGAAAGTAGCTATATATATAGAATGTGTCAGAATGACGGAGGAAATAAAACAACAAAGTTCATATAAACTCTTGGTGGCTGCCATTGACTTTGGTACAACCTATTCTGGCTATGCCTATTCTTTCAAGGACACCTGGGCAAAAGTTGTGACAAATAAGTGGCCCAGTGGGAACCTGATGTCTCACAAAGCCCCGACAGCTCTCCTCTTAAACCCAGACCAGACGTTTAATTCATTTGGATACGAAGCAGAGAAAAATTACTCTGATCTTGCTGAAGATGGAGATGAATGTGAAGACTATTACTTTTTCCACAGATTTAAGATGATTTTGAAAACAGAATTAGAGAAGGTAAGATATCATCTTTTGATTGCACAGTTTGATTACGACCTACATATCAGTGGCGGATCCAGGAATCTTGAAAAAAAAGGGGGGGGTCGGGGAAGGGGCCCAAGGCCACACCAAAAACATTGATTTATTAAATCTTATGTATATTTTGGACACAAAAGGTAGACCCGGGCCCCCTGCCTCCTCTAAATTCGCCAGTGCATAATGGATAGGGAACACACGGTGGCGTCTTGCATTTTGCATTTTCTTTGGGTATGCTTGCATACAAACTTAAAACAGCTCCGAAAATCTGGTGACCCGATGAATATATGACTATATGAAAAAAAGAGGCCCATGGACCACACCGCTCACCTGAGTAACTTTGGCCCTGCTGTTCTTCATCAGATTCCCCCTTGTTACACTTATTGTTGCCCCACCCTACCACCGGGCGTCATGATTGAATAATTTAGAATCTACACTACCTCAGGAAGCTTCAGCTTTCCTGGCCCAGTGGTTATTGGTAAAAAGAATTTTAAAGATTTTTCCTTTATATTTCAATGTAAAACTTCGATCCCCTAATTTGGCCCCACCCTACCCTGGGGGCCATGATTTGAACAATTTAGAATCCACACTACCTCAGGAGGCTTCCATGTAAGTTTCAGCTTTTCTGGCCCAGTGGTTCTTGAGAAGAAGATCTTTAAAGATTTTTCCTATATAATTCAATGTAAAACTTTGATTCCCCAATGTCAAACTTTGATTCCCTATTGTTGCCCTACCTTAGCCCCGGGGTGCCATGATTTGAACAATTTAGAATCTACACTATCTCAGAAAGCTCTACATAAGTTTCAGCTAATCTGGCCAAGTGGTTCTTGAGACTTCAAGATGATTTTTAAAGATTTTTTCCTGAATATTTCAATGTGAAACTTTGATTCCCTATTGTGGCCCCATCCTACCCTGGGGGCTACGATTTGAACAATTTAGAATCTACACTACCTCAGGAGGATTCCATATAAGTTTCAGCTTTTCTGGCCCAGTGATTCTTAAGAAGATTTTAAAGATTTTCCCTTTATATTTCAATATAAAACTTTGATTCCCTATTGTGGCCCCACCTTACCCTGGGGGCTATGATTTGAAAATTTTAGAATTATCACTATCTCAGGAAGCTTGCGTATAAGTTTCTTTTTTTTTTCGCCCAGTGGTTCTTGAGAAGATGATTTTTAAAGATTTTTCCTTATATTTCAATGTAAAACTTTGATTCCCTATTATGACCCTACCCTTGCCCCGGGGGCCATGATTTGAACAATTTATAATTAACACTATCCCAGGAAGCTTCCACATAAATTTCAGCTTTTCTGGCCCAGTGGTTCTTGATAAGAAGATTTTTTTAATTACCCAACCCTATTTTCTCTTTTCTTGATTATCTCCTCTTTGAATGGGGCTTGGCCCTTCATTTAAAACATTTAAACCCCCTTTTACCCAAGGATGCTTTGTACCAAATTTGGTTAAAATTAGCCCAGTGGTTCTTGAGAAGAAGTTGAAAATGTGAAAAGTTTACAGAGGGACGGACGACGGATGATCAGAAAAGCTCACTTGAGCTTTCAGCTCAGGTGAGCTAAAAAGTGTTATGTTGCATTTAATTTTGACTTATTTATATGACTTACTAATATTGTCACTGAAAAATACATTTTAAATATGCAGAGAGTCAATAGGAAAACAAAGTGCATTGATGAAAACAAAAAGGAGCTGGACGCCATTGTGGTTTTCACCCACTGCATACGATATTTGAAAGATCATCTTCTTGAACAAATAAATAAAACCCTTCTAACAAAATCTGAGACAAAAATTGAAGTAAAAGATATAACTTTTGTCATCACTGTACCAGCAATATGGGATGATACCGCCAAAATGTTCATGAGAAAAGCTGCAGAAGCGGTACGTGCTCTCTCTCTCTCTCTCTCTCTCTCTTTCTCTCTCTCTCTCGTGACATTCACTGTTGTTGCATACATACGTGCTCATTGAAAACCTTTGTTTTAAAAAAAATTTAGGCCGAAATTCCGAGTGATCAGTTGCTTCTAGCACTGGAACCAGAGGCTGCATCTATTTATTGCCAACATATGCATTTGGAAAATCCAGATAATACGAGGAAAAAGGAAAGCATAAACTCTAAGTACATGGTCCTCGACATTGGAGGTAATATGTACATTATATATATGTATTTATAAAAACTGAAAAACAGAATATCAGTACAATCAATAGTAGGCAATATCGATTTTTTTTTATTTATTTCAATTGAAGAATGTTACATAGAAGGAATCGTTATTTTTATACTGTTTTTTAAAATATTAAACAAATACATGATCTCATTTTTTTCAAGGTGGAACAGCGGATATTACAATACACCAGCTGGAAAATCAAAAATTAGTGGAACTAATTCCAGCAACGGGCGGGGAATGGGGAGGCACTTGTGTAGATAAAGCGTTCCACAAATTTCTGGAGAACATTTTGGGAGAAAAGGTCATGAAAAGATTTTCGTCGGAATTGGAATACAAAGATGACTATTTCACATTCTGGCAGGGGTTTGAGACCAAGAAAAGGAACAAAATAGGAACAGCTGTCAGTGACACTGTTCATATAAGACTTCCCTTGGGATTAGAGGATATTGTTAAAGAAGTATTTAACTATAAGCAATTGAAAAGGAATGAGCCAATAAAACGATGTATTGAAAAGTCTAAATACAATGGCAAGATAGAATACAAAGATGGAGTGATATGGATGCCGTCTGCAATTTTCAAAGAAATGTTTTATCCAACGATTAGAAACATCACAACTCATTTGGAAGGTCTTTTCAAAAAAGAAAGTGGTAAAGATGTCAACATACTTTTAATGGTTGGTGGATTTGCTGATAATGAGTTATTGCAGTCTGAAATGAAAAAAACGTTTCGGGGAAAGCGTTTGGTTATACCTGAGCAAGCAGATCTGGCTGTTTTGAAGGGGGCGGTATATTTTGGTCATATTCCAGACGCCATTTCTAAACGGGTTGCTAGGTATACCTATGGTATTCAAACCTGGCCGAAATTCGATCGAAGTAGACACGATGTAAAGAAAAAAGAGATGGTTTCGGGAGAAGAAAGGTGTAGAGATGTCTTTTTGAAATTTATTTCCAAAGGAGACCCTATTGAACCAGGTTTGGGGAAGTCATACATTTTCCAATCACTGCAAAATGAAAAGAGGAAATTAGAGTGTGGGGTATTTGTATCAAATTCTGAAAACCCTACATACATTGATGAAAAAGGGTGCTGCAAATTAGGAACATTAGAAATTCCAATCGGTGATCGAAGTGAAACATGTGAGATTGAAGAATCAATCATTTTCGGAGAAACTGAAATTCGTGTAAAAGCCTGTAACTTTGCGACTGGAGAGCGGTACGAAGTGAAGTTCGATTTGCTGGCTGAGAAAATTGAAATGCCTGATAGCAGGACTTGGAGTGTGCACTAATTTTTTTTTTCTTAAAAAAATCCGCTCTCTTATCCCCTTTGAAGATAGATAATACCGGTATCGTGTCAAAATGTTCAATGAGTCCTTAATTAAAAGTATATTGTTTATTTAAACTTAGCCGACAAATCTACAAAAATTAGCCCTGCTCAAAACAT